GGGAGGGAGAGAAGAGAGAAAATAGGGGGGGAAAGTAGAAAGAAAATAGTAGATACAGGAATTGATAGGGAAAGCATTGTTACAGAGAGAGAGAGAGAGATGACGTGAGCACACCAAAGGGAACAACAGTAAAGTGTTAAGCAAGCATGGATCTCCCTGGTGCTCACTGACCCTTCCTCCCACTCTCCCCCTAGAACGGCTCAGATCTGAAGTGGGTGGACGGAGGGAAGCCCATATTCAAGGTCTCCACCAACGTCCTCTCCACAGTCTACACTCAGGTAAAAGTCTAACCTTACCCTCCCACTCCATGGAACCACCACAAGTCAACTTTCTTCTTAAAAAAACAATGTACTTAACCAACCTTTAACGGGTCTCAACTCCAGCAAGTCCATCCTTGTTATCCCATTGTGACTTTTAGGATTACGCCCCAAATGGCACCCTATTCCCTATTTTGTGCACTACTTTTCGACCATAGGGCTCTGGTCAAAACTACTGTACTATGTAGGGAATAGGATGCCTTTTGGGATGCAGATTCAGTTTGCTCCTGGATTTAGTCCTCATCTCCTGTACACAGTCTATCACTCAGTGATGGGGATTCTGGTTGTGACTGTGTCTTCTCTCTTTGATCGCCAGGACCCCCACCTGAACCGCTTCTTCCAGCAGTGCCAAAAACGAGACACAGACCTCTCCCAATCACCTACCTCAAACTTCCTCAACTGCCTGAAGGTCTGGGAGGATAGAGGGATGACTTCACATCTCTCCATTCTGCATTTCACTCCCATACTATAAACCCCATCACTGACACCCCATCTCTATCCTCTCTCTCTCTCTCTCTCTCTGACTGTCTCTATCTCCTTCTCTGTCTATCTCTATATATCTCTCTCGCTTTCTTTTTGATTCCCCCCCCTTTTAACTTCTCCACAGGCACGAGCATGGGTTCCCAATAATTCTTCCCCTTCCTTTTTAAACCAGGGGGTAAGGGTTCCACCCCAGAAACACAAACACAATCCCCCACCACCACCCCCCCCATAAAACCCTCCCCCGGGGGCCCACTCCCTCCCGGGGATCTAAAATTTTCTTTCCCAAAAATTAATTTCCCTTACTTTTCCCCCAGGTTATGAATTTGAGAAATATGATATTCCCGGGGGCAACCTTTTTCCCCCGAAAAAGGTTTTCCACCGGGGTGCGCCCAAATTTTGGACCAGTTGCCAAGGGACAAAAACCTTGCCATTTTTAAGTTTTTTTTGGTTTTTGTTTTTTGGGGTTTGTCCACCTTTTTGGGGCGGGGGGGCGGGGGGTTCCCAGGGTTGGGGGTGGGTGCAAAAGGGGGGGAATTGGAAAAAGAGGGGAAAAAGGGGGGAGGGGGCAGAAAGGGGGGATGAGGGGGGAAGGGAAAGGGGGAAGGGGGGGGAAAAAAAGAGCGAGAAAGGGGGAAGGGGGGGGTTTTTTTTTTAAAAAGGGCAAAAAAAAAAGGGGGGAAATTAAAGGGGAACCGGGGGAAATTCTTTTGGGGTTTTGGGTTTTTCCTTTTACAAACGGGGGGGCCAAGGGGTTTTGTTTTGGGTTTTGGGAGGCAGAGGCCCCCGGGGGAAAGGGAGGGCCCAGAAAGGGAAACAAGAGAGAAGAGATTGCCCCCCTTTCGCTCCCCCCGGGCTTTGGGGGGGCGGGGGGGGGTTTTCTTTGGGGGGAAAGGCAAAAAAGGACACGGGGCCGTTTAAAAATAAAACAAGGCACTTAAAGAGAGAGGGGGCTTTTTCATTTTTGGTGAAAAAAAAAATCAGAATCCTACAATGAATCTTTAAGAGGGGCAGAGAGACAGAAAGAGAAATGGAGGGAGGGTGGAAGGAGAGGAAAGAATGGGAGGGCCACTGTAATGGAACTGCCGTTACTATGGCAACTGATTGGCATGCTGCTCGGGGGGCTAGCAGCAAGCCATTTTGTGCACGTTGTGTGTGCGTGCAGCGTTGCGTGTGTGTGTGTGGTTACCATTGTTAATGAACTAACTCAATTGGGTGAGGTCAGTGGGAATGAGGTGTGTGTGCCATCCACCTACAGTGTGGGTGGAACATTTCGCACAAAAAGAGAAAAAGAGATTGAGTGCCAAAATAAGCACATAGATACAGTACAGAAGCACGTACCCCAATGAATTTGATGTGCCTGGAAAAACTACATTAGATCAAGATTTTTTTATGCATAATTTATTACAAATTTGTCAGACTCAGCATCTATTTCTTCTTCCTCAACTCTGATGAACCTTAATCGGTGTTGTTTTGTTTTTATGTAGGTTTAATTAAATGCAGATCCAAGCATATTGCATGTTTGCTTCCCTTGATGCTAGTAATGGGTGTACAGTATGTGAGAGAGAGAAAAGGTGTCTGTACAGCGCATCTGTGTGTCTGTCTGTCTGTCTTACTGTCTGTGTGTCTGTCTCTCTGTCCGTCTGTCTGATTGACCTTGTTCTCTCCACTGCGGTGGTCAGTTTGTGTTCAAGGCGGAGTCGCACGGCTTCCGGACTGTCCACGAGGAGCTGGCCAAGGGCATGTCCTCTGACCTGAAGAGCAACGAGCAGCTGGCCGTCAGGAACATCCTCAGGGTGAGTCTAGATGGACGCCACGCCCAGTCCCAAATGACACCCTATTCCCTTTATAGGAACCCATAGGGCTGTGGTTAAAAATAGTGCACTATATAGGGAATAGGGTGTCATTTGGGTGGATAGTCCCCTGATCTACAGATGCTGACACTGTCAACAAACTGTCAACTGCAACTCTGTTAATATGCATCTGCTTGCTAGGGTTACGGTTAGGTTTAGGGTTAGAGTAAGGATTAAGGGTTAGGCCTAGGGTTAAGGTTAGTAGATAGTTAATTGAAATGTTGTTGAAATGTTGTTGACAGTTAGTTGGACATCTACTAAACATCTACAAACCTATTTGGACTATCCAAATAAAGTCATACCTAGAAATGTCATGCATAGCCATGATAGGATTCCTTATCTTACATAACAGAGAAGCCCATCTGCTCTACGTGATATATATCTATCTGAATGCGCCGTTGAATGTGACCCTGAGTTCTTAACTTAACGTGACCCAGATGATCTGACCCCTGTTTGACCTTTTACCCCTGTCTGCTGCAGTTTTCCTGGTTCTTCTTCGAGCTCATTGTCAAGTCCATGGCCCAGCATCTAGTGGACTCAGACAATGTCAAGGTATAGAAACATAAAATATGAAGCTATAATATATGTACATATACACTCCCTGTGAGAGGGGTGGTGGCGAATCAATTAATACAGATTAGCATACCGATAAACAATACATGAGACGAACTCTGTCTTGGTCACACTGAGGAATACATTTTGACATCATTTCAGTGTCATTGTCCCTGTTGTATTTAACTCACGCAAAGAGACAATCACGTTCTCAAACCTCATTACTCAAAGAGTATATCTAATGATTATATTATACACTCACCGGCCAGTTTAGTAGGTACACCCATCCGGTACCGGGTCGGACCTCCCTTTGCCTTCAGAACAGCCTGAATTCTTCGGGGCATTCTACAAGGTGTCGGAAACGTTCCACAGGGATGTTGGTCCATGCAGCCCGTTCTATCTCAGCCCAAAGAAGGTTGAGGTCTGGGGACTGCGCAGGCCAATCAAATAAACTGAACTCCCTGTCATGTTCCAGGCGATGTTTTTCAACTCCTCAATTGTCCAGTGTTGGTGATCGCGTGTCCACTGGAGCCACTTCTTCTTGTTTTTAGCTGATAGGAGTGGAACCCGGTGTAGTCATCTGCTGCAATAGCCCATCCGTGACAAGGACCCATCACTGGACCCAACCAACACACACCGTGTAAGGTGCAAAACATGCGTCCGACTTTGACATTGCGAGCATGGGTGAATCGGCCCTGAAGAGCCACATGAAGGGGGAAAGACTCAACGCTGCATCCTGCGCTGGTCGCCAGTTCTACATGATATGACTTTTTCTCTGCAACAACCTCCAGAGCTTTTTTGCCAATCGCCTCATTCACAGGGTGCCCGCAGTATTCTGCTTTATCAAGCCGTGCAGTTCTGTTGGCCGTTAACATGCAGTTTTCCTCACACAGCCCACCCGCCCTTCTCCGGGTGGGTTGTGTGAGGAAATAAGTATTGAAACAACGTATTATTGAGTAGAAAAGATGAGTGATGAACACTACGTTATTTTTTTCTTCATGAGGTTGTGGCGATATACTGCCATCTGGTGGCAACAATAGCATAATATTAGCTATTACAAATTGATGGTCCTTGAAAATAAATATTAGTGCTTGAAAAAGTACTTAAAAGTCCTTGAGTCCTGTCGTGCGTGAAAAGCCCAGGAGGGCGGCTGTTTCTGAGATATTGGATCCGACGCGCCTGGCTCAAAGTCGCTTAGGTCACTTGTTTTGCCCATTCTAACGTTCATTCGAACAGTAACTGAATGCCTCGATGGCTGCTTTATATAGCAAACCATGACCACGTGACTCACTGTCTGTAAGAGCAATCCATTTTCATGAAAGGGGTGGTGTACCTAATAAACTGGCCAGTGTGTGTATATGCCACTTACCAGACGCGTTTTATCAAAAGTGACTTACAGTACGATACGATATAATTTATTGTCCATTTACAGGGAAATTCTTTTTGGAAAGTCAGCATACAAATACACAAACACAATACACTATAATACACGGAGTACGGAAAACACTGGAAAGTTAGTACTCAAGTCACACATATTCAGATTCTCTGCGGCCTACTTTCTGACCATGTATTGGGCCTGCATCTGTCCTATGTCCCACTGTACCATTCAGTGCTGTCAGTGCATACATTTTGTAGTATGTATATGTGATCCCTGCTGGAATTGAACCTACGACCTTGGTGTTGCTAGTGCAACTTATACATTAGGCCTATATGTTAAGTTTCCATATTATGTGTGCCTCAGCTCCCTCGACCACAGAGGTTCCCTTCAACTTACCTGAGTCGTCTGGAGAGCCTAGTCATGACCGTGTCCGACCACATCTTCTGGAAGAACAAGGAGCTGGAAGAGGAGACCCGCAGTGCCAACCTGGCCATGGCAGCCTTTGTCAAGGTGGGCATAACACACATCACAAACACATTACATGCTTAGGGAGCTGTCCTTATCACTTGTCGAGATCAGGCTCAAATGCTGCCAAGGGTAATACATTTTGTATTCCCTGACTAATGATACAGAAGCAGAGTTGAATGCAATTAAGCTAACTGTAAATTAAAATGGCTTCCGCTGCTAACTATTGTTAGATATAGATGTCCTTAAAGAGAATCTCCGGTACTTTTGTATACTTTTTAGACGGTAGTTCTGAAAGTAGCACTCACGAGCCAAAAGTGGTCCCCGAAAATTGCATACTACGTCACATATGTGCATATATGTGCACCCCTTCATTGCACTCTCTCACGCTCTGCTCTGGGTGCATGATGTGCCTCTTGCTAGATGTCACTCAAATGCGAGGGCTGAAGCTCGTTGGCTAGAACTTGAATTGCTAGGGGGCTGGCCCACATGGGGGAAAATGACGCAGCACAGCTTCCCTTAAAAACAGTCGCTTTCAAAATAGGGATTTTGTGGCTAATTGAGGTAAGACAGTAATTCTGCTTATATATTATGCATGTATGAACTACACATTGACACATTCCATCCTAAAGTGGGAGGTTTAAAAGATACATTAGTAGTCGCCAAAGTTTCTGAGCGTGTTTTTAACTGTGTTGTGAAATGATGAAATGGTCTCTCTTTCATGTTCTTCATTAACTAATGCTGACCTCATCCCTCCATCCATCACTTCCCTCTTTCCCTACCTCCCTCCTCTCCTCCTTATCTCCCTCCCCCTCTCCCCTCCATCCCTCCCTCCCTCCCTCTTTCCCTCCCTCCTCTCCAGCGTTGCTTCACCCTCATGGACCGAGGGTTCACCTTCAAGCTGGTCAGCAACTACGTCAACATGATCACAGCCACTGACAACAAGGTAACACACACACTTACACACACACGTGTGAATAAAGCATTTCCTCATCCGTCGGTGTAATAGCCAATGTCACTCACGGTAGAATAGAATGCAATAGAAAACAATGAAATAGATACTACAATAGAAAACAATGGACTTCAGAGGTGTTGTGGTGTTTTTATTCAGTCAATCGGGTTGTGACCCCGACCTTTCTCTCGACAGGTGCTGTGTGAGTTCAAGTTTGAGTTCCTGCGAGAGGTGTGCAACCACGAGCACTACATCCCTCTCAGTCTGCCCCTCCCCTCCACTCGCATCACAGGTCAGAGATCATCTAGGGTTCACAGTGACCCAATCGAAGTCCGTCTTAGGTTTTAATACCGTTGCATTCATCTTAATTCATTACACCGCTTAACACTTTCTTTTCTGTTCTTTCTCTTTCCTGTCCATTTCAGACAATGCATCACAAGAAATGCAAAGTGCTCAGGGTAACTATCGGTCCTTTTTTGTGATATTCACGATGTTGTACTGATGTTCTTTACCATATGACTGGAACTGGGTGGAATAAACAACCCATCATTTACTTCTAACATTTAGTGTAGTTGTGGTTGTGCAGGATAATTCTTATAAGTGCAGCAGTAGTATATGGCAGTTTTTCAACCTCTGGTACTAGGACCAGCTTTGGTCCCTGAGATGTTGCTAACCAGTCCCTAAAATGATTAGCTGACATCAATTTAGTCAATTCTAAAGTGTTGGTTTTAATGTAAGGGTACCTCCAAGAAGGAAGGACCAGAGCTTTCTGGTCTCTGCTATTAAGAAGGTTGAGAACCACTGGTATATGAGACTTGGATGCTGTTGGGGCACTGAGCTCTCTCTCTCTCTCTACCACTCCCCTCTCTATCTCTCTCTCTACCCCTCTCTCTCTCCCTCTCTCTATTGTTGATAGTAGCCATCAGTGTAACAGGTTTTACAGATGTCCTCTCTCTCTCTCTCTCTCTCTCTCCTCTCTCTCTCTCCCTCTCTCTCTCTCTCTCTCCTCTCTCTCTCCTCTCTCTCTCTCTCTCTGCTCTCTCTCTCTCTCTCTCTGCCTCTCTGCCTCTCTCTGCCTCTCTCTCTCTCTCTCCCTCTTTCTTTCTTCCCCCTAACCGCATCTCTCTCCCTCCTTACTCTCTCCCTAGTGGACGTGCCAGAGTACAGCCTGACGGGCGAGTTCTGCCGGAAGCACTTCCTGACGGGTCTGTTGCTACGGGAGCTGGGCCTGGCGTTGCAGGATGAGCAGGACCTGCGCCACCTGGCCCTCGCCAGCCTCAAGAACCTGATGGCCAAGCACTCGCTGGACGCCCGCTATGCCATGAAGGTACACCACGCACGCCACCACCATGTAGCGGGCACCAGATAATAATATAACGTGTCCCTAATGTCACCCTATTTTCTATATAGTGCACTACTTTGGACCAGAGCCCTATAGTCTAGAAGTACTCTATATATACAAAAGTATGTGGACACCCCTTCAAATTAGTGGATTCGGCTATTTCAGCCACACCTGTTGCTGACAGGTGTATAAAATCGAGCACACAGCCAAACAATCTCCATAGACAAACATTGGCAGTAGAATGGCCTTACTGAAGAGCTCAGTGACTTTCAACGTGGCACCGTCATAGGATGCCACCTTTCCAACAAGTCAGTTTGTCATATTTCTGCCCTGCTAGAGCTGCCCCGGTCAACTGTAAGTGCTATTATTGTGAAGTGGAAACGTCTACGAGCAACAACGGCTCAGCCACGAAGTGGTAGACCACATAAGTTCACAGAACGGGACCGCCGAGTGCTGTCCTCGGTTGCAACACTCTCTACCGAGTTCCAAACTGCCTTTGGAAGCAATGTCAGCACAAGAACTGTTCGTCGGGAGCTTCATGAAATGGGTTTCCATTGCCAAGCAGCCGCACACAAGCCTAAGATCACCAAGGCCAATGCCAAGCGTCGGCTAGAGTGGCGTAAAGCTCGCCGCCATTGGACTCTGGAGCAGTGGAAACGTGTTCTCTGGAGTGATGAATCACACTTCACCATCTGGCAGTCCGATGGACGAATCTGGGTTTGGCGGATGCCAGGAGAATGCTACTTGCTCCAATGCATAGTGCCAACTGTAAAGTTTGGTGGAGGAGGAATAATAGTCTGCGGCTGTTTTTCACATTTCTAGGCCCCTTACTTCCAGTGAAGGGAAATCTTAATGCTACAGCATACAATTACATTCTAGACAATTCTGTGCTTCAAACTTTGTGGCAACAGTTTGGGGAAGGCCCTTTCCTGTTTCAGCATGACAGTGCCCCCGTGCACAAAGCGAGGCCCATACAGAAATGGTTTGTTGAGATCGGTGTGGAAGAACTTGACTGGCCTGCACAGAGCCCTGCCCTCAACCACATCGAACACCTTTGGGATGAATTGGAACTCCAACTGCAAGCCAGGCCTAATCGCCCAGCATCAGTGCCCGACCTCACTAATGCTCTTGTGGCTGAATGTAAGCAAGTCCCTGCAGCAATGTTCCAACATCTAGTGAAAAGCCTTCCCAGAAGTGTGGACTCTGTTATAGCAGCAAAGGGGGGACCAACTCCATATTAATGCCCATGATTTTGGAATGAGATGTTTGACGAGCAGGTGTCCATATACTTTTGGTCATGTAATGTATGTCTGTAAGAAAGAGGTATGAAGGTAGGCTAGGGCCATGTAGCAATATTAGCCTGGTTCCAGATCTGTTTCTGTTCTAGTTTAGCCAACTCATCTGATTACCGTTGTGAGTTGGCTGAAGTGCAAACAGATCTGGCACCATGCTGTACCAATATTGATGTTCCATACAGGAAACCAAAATATTCTGATTGGACAGTGTACAATGTACTATAGCTGACATTAAAAATCACTTTTTAGATATTTGCCTGTCATCACGTCACTTCCAGGAGTGTTCTCTGTGTCGAGATTTTCTCATAGATATTGGGTTGACTAAAAGTGTGTGTGTGTGTGTTAGGAGAGAGAAATCATTAATCTGGGTACTCACACACACACACACCCTATCCTGCGGACCGGTGTACATGAAGTAGGCTAAGTAATGTGCCATTCTCACTGGGACCTCTGAGCACCCGAGGAGAGGAGGTGGGATGGAGTGGGGTGCTGGGAAGGATCCAGGTTGCGTCTCAAATGGCACCCTATTCCCTATATAGTGCCCATAGGGCTCTGGTCAAGAGCAGTGCACTATGTAGGGAATAGGGTGCCATTTTGGACTCAACCCCAGACAGCCAGATCCCATCTGAGATTAGGAGCCTGCCAAACCCAACACTGTACAACTGTTGACAGATCTCTGTTCCTCTCTCAATCAGGCACAGTTTAAACCCCTGATATTTATTCTCTGTAGGTCTGTCGCTCACTATCGGTCTTTCTCTCTCTTTCTTTCTTTCTCTCTCGGTCTGTCTCAAATTCTCTCTCTATTCTGTCCTTTTCTCTCTCCTCTCTCTCTCTGTTTCTCTCTCCTCCCTATCTCTCTGTTTCTCTCTCCTCTCTCTCTCTGTTTCTCTCTCTCCTCTCTCTCTCTCTCTCTCTTTCTCTCTCCTCTCTCTCTCTGTTTCTCTCTCCTCTCTCTCTCTCCTCCCTATCTCTCTGTTTCTCTCCTCTCTCTCTCTCTGTTTCTCTCTGTTTCTCTCTGTTCTCTATCCTCTCTCTCTCTCCTCTCTCTCTCTTCTCTCTCTCTCTCTCTCTCTCTTCTCTGTTTCTCTCTCCTCTCTCTCTCTGTTTTCTCTCTCCTCCCTATCTCTCTGTTTCTCTCTCCTCTCTCTCTGTTTCTCTCTCCTCTCACTCTGCCGCCCCTCCCCCCCACTCCTCCCTCTCTCTTCATATTCTCCAGGATAAGCAGGCGAGGATAGCGTCCCTTTACCTGCCTCTGTACGGCCTCATCCTGGACAACATGCCTCGCTTCTTCCTCCGAGACCTCTTCCCCATCTACTTCACCTCCAGTGACCAAGTAAGAGCCTCTACTGCAGCCCTGATTGACTGCAGCCCTGCCCATGTCCAAGCAAAGTGCCACAAAGCTACTGTTGTTGTAGTGATGTCATAGTTTGGCGTGGCCCGCAGTGCTACTTTAGGGTCATGTATGTCCAGTCACAGCCCAGTTCACAGAGGCTAGGGAGGGAGCGGGGTGGGAGGGGGAGAGAGAGAGATAGGGAGAGAGAGGAAGGGCAGGGATAAACGCTCACACAGGCCCAGCCGCTAATGTTACTTTTACAACACAGGAGACAGTAATTAAGCTTTAACAAGGGAATCCTGCATTTATGGTTCCCATTTCTATTAGACGTGCCTCAGGGAGAACCTGGAAGGGAAATGTTTTGTTTTTAAATTTGTCATTGACAGGTAGTGTAATCGAGCTTTACCCAGGCAGACTCTCTAGAGTAATCTCTAGACGCTGGAAAGTGCTAAGTTTGAGTTCTATTTAAACTCTAATATCTTACTCACTGGTGTTTCAGTGAACTGTGTCCTCTGGCCCAGTGGAGTTACAGTGAAATGTTTCCCTCTGGCCCAGTGGAGTTACAGTGAATTGTTTCCCTCTGGCCCAGTGGAGTCACAGTGAATGTTTCCCTCTGGCCTAGTGGTGTCACAGTGAAATGTATCCCTCTGGCCTAGTGGTGTTAGAGCAAACTCTTTCCCCCTCTCCAAGGGTTCAAGAGACGACCTGAGTGTGGGAGGGGGCGTGGCAGGTCAGGTGGCTCACGTCATTCGCCATGGTAACTCGGTGGATGCCTCCTTCTCCAAAGAAGTGCTCAACTCCATCACAGGTAGATTGTGTGTGTGCGTGCATACTTTTTCATGTGTGTATGCGTGTTTGCAACTGTGTGTGCACCTCTCTGCACATAAACGTCCATAACCTCTAACCCTCCTCCCACTCCCCCTAGCCTTCTCCTCCCTGGCTGTTTTTCCACGGGTAACCATGCCGACTCGCGGGGTTCTTGTAGCATAGGCCCCAACCCCACCCCAGCGCCCAGGAACAGGGGGAAGATAGACGGAGGGAAAAAAGGGAGAAAGAAAAAAACCCCCAGCACCGGGCCAAAACCAGGGGGCGGGGAAAAGAAGAACAAAAAGAAAAACAGGGCAAAAGAAGAAGGTGGGGCCCCCCCCCCCCCTTTTCCCCCCCCACCCCCCTTTTGGGGGCCCCCAGGGGCCCAAAACCTCCTCCCCTTTCTCCTCTCCCTCCACTCCCCTCCCCCTCCCCTTTTCCCCTTTTCCCCCAGTTTCTCCCCCCTCCCCCCTCTCCCCATCTCAGGGTATCACGGGATCCCCCCCATCCGCACGGAATGTCTTTTCAGAGCAACCACGCGGACCGGGGAAAAGAAAAAAAGGGGGGGGAAAGGGATTTAACCCCCCCAAAAAAAACCCCGGCCCAAAAACCCCGGAAAAAAAGCCCGAAAAGGGGGCCCCGGGAAAAAAAAAAGGGGGTTTCCGTTTGGCAGAAAACAGGAGTAGAGGAGAAAAGAAGAACAAGAGCGCGTAAGAAGGGGCGGGAGGATAAAGGAGAAGACAGAATAGAGAGCGAGAGAGAATAATAACCACTCATTCTATCTCTCTCTCTACCTCCCACCTACTATCCTTCTCTCTCTCTATCCTCAACTCCCACTCTCTCTCTCTCTCTCTCTCTCCCTCCCACCTCTCTCTCTCTTCTCTACCTCCAGCCTCTCTAGACTCTCTCTACCTCCACTCTCTCCTCCCTCTCTTCCCCCTTTCCCCCCCTTTTCTCTTCCTTCCTTCCCTCTCTCTCTCTGTCATCAGTTTGCCCGTCCTCAGTCTCTGATAGGCTTTGGATCTCGCTTTGACAAGCTGGACCAGGCCGAGACTCGCAGTCTGCTCATGTGTTTCCTCCACATTATGAAGACCATATCGGAGGGTGAGACACATAGGGTTACCTCCATGCAGGTCCTATAATTCACTACAGTATGCGCCAAATGTATTGAGACAGTGACACTATTTATTTTTTATTAAATTTTTTGGCTCTGTACTCCAGCACTTTGGATTTGAAATTATACAATGACTATGAGGTGAAAGTGCAGATTGTCAGCTTTAATTAATTTGAGGGTATTGTCATCCACATCGGATGAACCGTTTAGAAATTACAGCACTTTTTGTACATAGTCCCCCCATTTTAGGGGACCAAAAGTATTGGGACAAATTCACTAATATGTGTATTAAAGTAGTAAAACGTTACGTAGTATGTGGACACCACTTCAAATTAGTGGATTCAGCTATTTCAACCACACCCATTGCTGACAGGTGTATAAAATCGAGCACATAGCCATGCAATCTCCATAGACAAATATTGGCAGTAGAATGGCCTGTACTGAATAGCTCAGTGACTTTCAACGTGGCACCGTCATAGGATGCCACCTTTCCAACAAGTCAGTTCATCAAATGTATGCCCTGCTAGAGCTGCCCCGGTCAACTGTAAGTGCTGTTATTGTGAAGTGGAAACGTCTAGGAGCATCAACGCCTCAGCTGCGAAGTGGTAGGCCACACAAGCTCACAGAACGGGACCGCCGAGTGCTGAAAAAGAACTGTTAGTCGGGAGCTTCATGAAATGGGTTTCCATGGCCGAGCAGCCACACAAGCCTAAGATCATCATGTGCAATGCTGGAGTTGTGTAAAGCTCGCCGCCATTGGACTCTGGAGTGATGAATCACGCTTCACCATCTGGCAGTCCGACGGACGAATCTGGGTTTGGCGGATGCCAGGAGAATACCACCTGCCCCAATGCATAGTGCCAACTGTAATGTTTGGTGGAGGAGGAATAATGGTCTGGGGATGTTTTTCATGGTTCGGGCTAGGCCCCTTAGTTCCAGTGAAGGGAAATCTTAACGCTACAGGATACAATGACATTCTAGACGATTCTGTGCTTCCAACTTTGTGGCACAGTTTGGGGAAGGCCCTTTCCTGTTTCAGCATGACAATGCCCCCGTGCACAAAGCCAGGTACATACAGAAATGGCTTGTCGAGATCGGTGTGGAAGAACCTGTCTGGCCTGCATAGAGCCCTGACCTCAACCCCATCAAACACCTTTGGGATGAATTGGAACGCCGACTGCGAGCCAGGCCTAATCGCCCAGCATCAGTTCCCGACCTCACTAATACTCTTGTGACTGAATGGAAGCTAGTCCCCGCAGCAATGTTCCAACATCTAGTGGAAAGCCTTCCCAGAAGAGTTGAGGCTGTTATAGCGGCAAAGGGGGGACCAACTCCATATTAATGCCCATGATTTTGGAATGAGATGTTTGACGAGCAGGTGTCCACATACCTTTGGCCAGTTAGTGTATTTGGGCCCATATTCATAGCACGCAATGTCTACATCAAGCTTGTGACTCTACATATTTGTTGGATGTATTTGCTGTTTGTTTTGGTTGTGTTTCAGATTATTTTGTGGACAATAGAAATGAATGGTAAATAATGTATTGTGTCATTTTGGGATCACTTTTATTGTAAATAAGAATAGAATATGTTTCTAAACACTTCTACAGTAATGTGGATGCTACCATGGTTACGGATAATCCTGAATGAATCATGAATAATGATGAGTGAGAAAGTTACAGAAGCACAAATATCATCTGCACTTTAACCTCATAGTCATTGCATCATTTCAAATCCAAAGTGCTGGAGTACAGAACCAAAACAACAACAAATGTGTCACTGTCCCAATACTTTTGGAGTGCACTGTATATGTATTCTTTGTGTAATTCTGTGGTTAACCCCTTCACTACCGGACCATAGCCAATAGTACAGTGGCCTGGAGGCAATCGGACCATATATGAGGCCTACACGGTAGCCAGGTAGCTAGTACCAATTCCTTAGTGTTAACCTCTTCCATACCGGACCGTAGCCTACAGTAGGGTTGTTACGATACCAGTATACTCAATTTTCCATGGCAAAAAGGAAAACATGAAGAAGTCTAAACTATGCTTTATGTGAAATATTTGGTGCTAGGCTGTTTGTTTCCAACATTAGGACTGTTTTCCTCAAAGTAATTTTGCTTCAGGTTTTGTTTGCTTACCATGATACTTAAGAATATTGCGATACTGGTATGCACTGTTAGTCAATATATTGCTTTTGCACAGTGAAGTAGTACAAGTACAGGTGCATGTGATTTTTTTCTGTTTGCAGAGGTGATGGTTTCCTATTGGCACCGAGCCATACACCAGGAGATCTCCGACTTCTTCAACATCCTGGAGTAAGTATACTCAGTGTTAACACTTCCTCTGTCCCTGTGTAGATGGACAGATACGATAGGTGGATGGATGCATGACAATTATTTTCAAAGACACAACTACCCATATCAGACTTCAAATAAGTAGTTGCAAACGCAAAACTTGGAAGAAGTTGAATAGTAGAAGAATATGGAGAATAATACGAGTGTTCTTGCTGACTCAAGCACACTAATTCCCCTATATTTTAGCCCATTGTAAGGAATGAGAATTGTTCCACCGACTTACACTTTACCCCAAAAAAGAGAAAGGGGCCTTTAAGGGGGTTGGGTATTGGTGCTGGTGTCTCCAATAGTATTGCTTGATGACCAGCAGAAACCTACTAAAGGATCCCCCCCTTGGTGAAATAGAAAAGCTTACATTCTCTAAAGATTAAGTGTGTGATCGTAGTTTGATTATACAACACCACACCTGATAAAAACACTGGCTTAACAAAAAGAATCACATTTGTCATGTATTTTTTGTTTTTGTTTCACTTCTATACAGTTGTGATGTATTCATTTTCAAAATTGTTCTGTATGGCCAAATGAACGGACTTGTCAATCAATTCAAATGTATCGCACTGTATACTTGTACTGTAGGCCAATCACATGCTGAAGAACAGGAACCTGCTGACGGTGTTGTAGTGATTTAAGTTGTTTTTGAAGACCACCCTGCCACTGAGCTGGACATAAGCAATTTCTCCCACCTCCAGTGGAACTATGGCTGCGTTTCTGACACTGTTCCCCCGTTTCCCCCACACATTATTCAGAAATTCACCATTCCTCACTAAAACAACAGAGCTCTCCTTGACACCGTTGTCGTTGTTGTACATTGTGTAACATTCCTTTGACCTTGGTTGTGAAGAAGCCTTGACCATACCGCACAAACACACAGATGTATACTGAACAAAAATATAAACGCAACATGCAACAATTTCAAATATTTTACTGAGTTACAGGTCATATAAAAAAATCAGTCAGTTGAAATAAATTCATTAGGCCCTAATCTTTGGATTTCACATGACTGGGCAGGAGTGCAGCCATGGGTGGTCCTTGGAGGGCATAGGCCCACCCACTTGGCAGCCAGGCCCACCCATTGGGGAGCCAGGCCCAGCCAATCAGAATGAGTTTTTCCCCACAAAAGGGCTTTATTACAGACATAAATACTCCTCAGCATCCCCCCACTCCCCCTCAGACGATCCTGCAGGTGAATCAGCCGGATGTGGAGGTCCTGGGCTGGTTTGGTTACACGTGGTCTGCGGTTGTGAGGCCGGTTGGACGTACTGTCAAATTCTCTAAAATGACGTTGGAGGCAGCTTATGGTAGAGAAATTAACATTCAATTCTCTGGTAACAGCTCTGGTGGACATTCCTGTAGTCAGCATGCCAATTGCACACTCCCTCAAAACTTGAGACATCTGTGGCATTGTGTTGTGTGACAAAACTGCACATTTTAAAGTGGCCTTTTATTGTCCCCAGCACAAGGTGCACCTCTGTAATGGTCATGCTGTTTAATCATCTTCTTAATATGCCACACCTGTCAGGTGGATGGATTATCTTGGCAAAGGAGAAATGCTCACTAACAGGGATGTAAACAAATTTGTGCACAAAATCAGAGAGAAATAAGCTTTTTGTGTTCATGGACAATTTCAGGGATTTTATTTTTTCAGCTCATGAAACGTGGGACCAACAATTTACATGTTGCGTTTATATTTTTGTTTAGTGTATTGTAGGGTTGTAGCCATTGCCAGTGTTAGCGTAGATCTTAGTGTACTTTATTGGTGTAGCAATGTTGTTTGGCTCATAGGTACCTTGCTGTTCCGTAGCAACAGAAAAGGCCACACTCATGACTAGGGAAAGGATGGGGAAATGATGGTCAGTTCAGTTTTTCATGAGAGTAAGATTAATTGATTGATTTAAATAGAACATTGCAAAGCCAAATAATAAATAAAGCAATAATCTCACTACTGACAGGATGAGCAAATTACTGTCAGCTTCTTGTTTAGTGCAAGAGTAAGAAATCAGTGAGAAACATCAGTGAATAGTAAAAATATTCCTTGATAACATTGTGCATCTTGATAACATCTTGATAACTCTCTTGATAACATTGTATGTGTGGGTGCAAGGTTGTGAAACTCTTGTCTACTTTACTATAATCGAGTGTATTTCCCTCACATAAAGTTGGTTCCTGTTTCATTCACGTTTACGTGGCTCAAGCAAAAACACCTTAGTGGTTGGTTGGGAATGGTGCCTCCCACAATTTAGGCAATGGGTGCAGTTGGTGGCTCCACGTGTGGTCTGGGGACGGCAGCGCTACCACTAGACCAGACTCCAGCATTGCCAGAATACCATCTAAGATCATAGTTGGCATCTGTTTCTTTAGAGCTCAAACACACCGTGAAGAAGAATGGTTGCTGTCCTATCGTCTCTGCTGTCCTGAACAGAATATCTGCCAACATTTTTCTGTTAATTTCCAGAAGGTTCTACATGATGAAGCGGTGTAAAAAGCAACTGTGGTTGACACCCAGCAGTTTATTGCTAACACACCGCGGCCATCCGCTGCTTTTAGGCCTTCGTCTTCGCAGTGACACAGGGACGAAAACCTGCAAAGTCATATTGAAAGAAGTCAATCATTGCACACCTGAATGGAGTGGGAAGCGGTAGATCAAACAGGTTCTATCGTATACTTGTAGGCCCAACGGGGAGGGGAGTAAATTGGGACTGGCTGTTTTAGGGCAGCCTAGCGGTTAGAGCGTTGGGCCAGTAACCGAAAGCAAGGCACTTGACCCTAATTTGCTTCAGGGGCGCCGTACTACTATGGCTGACCCTGTAAAACAACACATTTCACTACACCTATCCAGTGTATGTGACAGTAAATTGAACTAGTAGTCTTAGATTCAATCCGGACCACGGAAGATCTGCGTTATAGTACGATTGACATTTTAAGGTAATTTCCGATTGAGCTGACCGTGAGTGTGGTCTCTGCGAATGCTGAAACATTGCCTTTAAAAGTAAACTGCGCTATAATGCGGATCCTCCGTAGTCCGGATTGAATCTAACCCTGACTTACGTAAGTAGGCCTAGTTGAACTTTCCAGCGCTAATGACTTTGTTCTCTCATTACATGGAGGGAGGGAGGAAGGTGTGCATAGCGGAGAGAGACAGAGGAGGAATGGAATGGTGGGAGACTTGGCAGAGGGGAACGGATGAGACCGATAAAAGAGAGAGCGAGGGGCTGTGAAACTGATGAGAGAGAGAGAGATAGGCTCCAACTTTTCTCACCTAGCATCCGCTCAGGTCTGCAGTAAATTCACTGTTTCCTGTCTCTGCTGGAGCTTCTCTTATTATAACACACAGCTCCAAGACACAAAGTCTTGAAGGAGTTCCCACATATGCTGAGCTCTTGTTGGCTGCTTTTCCTTCAATCTGCGGTCATCTGATGCAGCACTCCATCACTCTCCTTCTTGGTAAAATAGCCCTTACACAGCCTGGAGGTGTGTTGGGTCATTGTCCTGTTGAAAAACAAATGATGATAGTCCCACTAAGCCCAAACCAGATGGGATGGCGTATCGCTGCAGAATGCTGTGGTAGCCATGCTGGTTAAGTGTGCCTTGAATTCTAAATACATCACAGACAGTGTCACCAGCAAAGCACCCCCACACCATAACACCTCCTCCATGCTTTACGGTGAGAAATACACATGCAGAGATCATCCGTTCACCTACACCGCGTCTCACAAAGACACAGCGGTTGGAACCAAAAATCTCAAATTTGGACTCTGAACAGTTGATGTTGAGATGTGTCTGTTACTTGAACTCTGTGAAGCATTTATTTGGGCTGCAATTTCTGAGGCTGGTAACTCTAATGAACTTATCCTCTGCAGCAGAGGTAACTCTGGGTCTTCCATTCCTGTGGCGGTCCTCATGAGAGCCAGTTTCATCATAGCGCTTGACGGTTTTTGCGACTGCACTTCTTGAAATGTTCCGTATTGACTTACCTTCATGTCTTAAAGTAAAAATGGACTGTCGTTTCTCTTTGCTTACTTGAGCTGTTCTTGCCATAATATGGACTTGGTCTTTTACCAAATAGGGCTATCTTCTGTATACCACCCCTACCTTGTCACAACACAACTGATTGGCTCAAACGCATTAAGAAGGAAATAAATTCCACAAATTAACTTTTAACAAGGCACACTTGTTAATTTAAATGCATTCCAGGTGACTACCTCATGAAGCTGGTTGAGAGAATGCCAAGAGTGTGCAAAGCTGTCATCGAGGCTAAGTGTCTATTTGAAGAATCTCAAATATAAAATATATTTTGATTTGTTTAACACTTTTTTGGTTACTACATGATTCCATATGTGTTATTTCATCGTTTTGATGTCTTCACTATTACTCTACAATGTAGAAAATAGTACAAATAAAGAAAAATCCTTGAATGAGTAGGTGTTCTAAAACTTTTGACCGGTAGTGTACACACACATACACACACACACACACACACACACACATACACACACATACACATACACACACATACATACACAGACACACACACACACTCATCGTGACTGCACAAACACAGACATGCATCGTGACAGCACGCACAACACATACCCACATGCACACAAACACTTGCAAACTTATACTCAACACACACACCCTGATACACACTCTCTCTCCTCTTCCTCTATGCAGGCTGTGTCTCCAGCACTTCAGATTCCTGGGGAAGCGCCACATAGCCAGGTAAGTGTCAGCCTTCCACAGGCTTTTAGCTGATACTATGTACCTGCTACTGTTCTTCTTCTCCCACTTAGAGGTTGTGTGTGTGTGTGTGCGTGCGTGCGCACGTATGTGCGTGTGTGTATGGGTGCGTGCGTGTGTGTGTTCATTGGTTTTACCAATGAAAGACATGCAACAGAACCTTGTGTCAGATTGTGTGAAATGTAATGTTTGCTCAACAGCCAGATACACACACACACACACACACACACACACAAATTCAACCACACACACATTAAACTACCCTCCCCCGAAGTGACACAGTCACATACACACTTAATGTTCATAATGTATGCGCACGCAACCGTCGGTCACTCACAAACTAACAAACGTAATTTGTGTACTGTATGCGTATGCACACACTCAGGCTGCTCCCAGGGTCCAGGGTTGGGCCAACTGACTGTCTCCCCAGCCCCAGCTGCTGCTGCTGTGTGTGTGTGTGTGTGTGTGTGTGTGTGTGTGTGTGTGTGTGTTTGCTTGCCTGTGTCTGCGTCTCCTGCTGCTGGCTGCAGTCGATAGAGGGAGAGAGAGAGAGGGCGGAGAGAAAGGGGGGAATATGATTAATGGCAGACACACAGAGATGTTGACAACGAGGTGGGCGTACTGGGACGTTTCTTACTATCGTGGTTGGCAAGAGCATGGTAGTTGGGGGTGGGGGGGTTTAGGAATGGTGTGTGTATCTGTCTGTTTGGTCTGTCTGTTTGGTGTGTCTGTCTGTTTGTTGGTGTGTGTGGTGAAGAGCCTGATCACCTGGATATACTCTAGTGAGCTCAAACCAGTGTGATATAGTTATTGGTGTACACTTTGTGTGTTCGTGTGTGTCCGTGGATCCTGGAGCAGAGCCATAGGCTTTCCCAGCCAGACTTTTTCTCTTCGCCTGGATTTTGATTCCTCTCTGCTAATTTAATTAGTCCTTATTTCCTCCTCAGTGTGAAGAAGAAGATGTTTATTTTTTCTTCTTGTTCTCTTTTTGTCAGAGCCAACAAAAGGCTGCTAATGTGGTTTGTTTAACTATGTCAGGCATTAGTAGAATAAAGACGAAGGGGCTGGGAGACTTGTGTGTGTCCCAAATGGCACCCTATTCCCTATATAGTGCACTACTTTTGACCAGAGTCCGTAAGTGCACTATAAAGGGAACAGGGTGCCATTTGGGTCACGGACATTGTCTGGGGCTGATAAGTAACATGCAACCTTAATCAGAGAGGCTGCTGGGGGATTTGAATAGGCTCTCTCTCTCTTTCTCTCTCTCTCTCCTTCTCTGAGGGGCCAAGCCTTTGATGTCTGTCTGAACTCTTTTTTGAAGTATGCCTCGTGCATCCACAGCGCTGTTTGAAGGTTTCGCCGAGACATTCCTATAATTTATTCTGTTTCAATTGCGCCTCATTGGTTTTTATTTCCCTCTTCTTACCTCATCCAGCACATCTCTCTGTTGAATGGATACAGCCTAGCAGGAGCATACATCAACACACAACATTTTACATTTTAGTCATTTAGCAGACGCTCTTATCCAGAGCGACTTACAGTTAGTGAATACATATTTTTTTTATACTGGCCCCCCGTGGGAATCGAACCCACAACCCTGGCGTTGCAAACGCCATGCTCTATCAACTGAGCTACATCCCTGCCGGCCATTCCCTCCCTACCCTGGACGACGCTGGGCCAATTGTGCCGCCCATGAGTCTCCCGGTCGCGGCCGGTGCGACAGAGCCTGGATTCGAACCAGGATCTCTAGTGGCACAGTTAGCACTGCGATGCAGTGCCTTAGACAACTGCGCCACTCAGGAGACAACACACCTGTAACACTGGTTGTGTCCCAAATAGCACCCTATTCTCTTTATAGTGCACTACTTTGGACCAGAGCCCTATGGCCCCTGGTCCTATTCCCTTTATAGTGCACTACCTTTGACCAGGATATACTACCCCTATGGGTAGTAGTAGGGCAAAAGTAGTAGGGCACACCGCCCTATCCCACCTGGACAAGAGGAATACCTATGTGAGAGTGCTGTTCATCGACTACAGCTCTGCTTTCAACACCATAGTACCCTCCAAGCTTGTCACAATGCTCAGGGCCCTGGGCCTGAACTCCTCCCTGTGCAACTGGGTCCTAGACTTCCTAACGGACCGACCCCAGATGGTGAGGGTAGGCAACAACACCTCCGCCACACTGATCCTCAACACCCCCCCCCCCCGAGGTGTGTGCTCAGCCCCCTCCTGTACTGCATATTCACCCATGACTGTGTGGCTATGCACGACTCCAACACAATCATCAAGTTGGCTGCCGACACGACAGTGTTAGGCCTGATTACCAAACAACAACGAGACTACAGGGAGGTGGTTAGAGCCCTGGTGGAGTGGTGCCATGATAATAACCTAACCCTCAATGAAAAAACAAAGGAGCTGATCATGGACTACAGGAGACAGCAGAGGGTGCATGCCCCCCTCCACTCGACGGGGCCGCAGTGGAGAGGGTAAAAAGCTTTAAGTTCCATGGCATGCACATCACCGAGGACCTGAAATGGTCCCACCATACCGACACCGTGGTGAAAAAGGCGCAACAGTGCCTCTACAACCTCAGGTGGCTGAAGAAATTCAGCATGGCCCTTAAGTCCCTCATGCACTTCTACAGATGCACCATTGAGAGGATTATGTCGGGTTGCATCACCGCCTCTTAGGGCAACTGCACCGTTCACTGGGACAGCTAAGTAGCTGCTCTGAAGAAAGACTCCACTCCAAACCAAGACAACTAAGAAGAAGGACATTGTGACCTCTGGTGGACAACCAGAGCCTTACACAGACACATGACACCACCGAAAAGGCTTGGTTTCACCAGAGATAGACGACGAACAAAGGCATCCACACGTAAATACATTCATGATTTCTTACTCCAAACAGGCGGTGGTTCGTGAGCAAAGTATTATGATTACTTTGAAGGTAGTTTCCAAATGTATCAATGATAAGTGTCTCTTTCTCTTTGTCTCTCTTTCCCTCTCTCTCTCTCTTTACCCCTCCCTCTTTTGGTAACCAAGCAGTCATGTTGTTGTTAGTCCGCTAGGGACTTTTTCTCATGTATTAAGTGTGTATGTTATTCTGTGTTATTATTTAGTTAGCTAGTAAATAAATAATTAAGCCAATTTGTGTAGTGCTGAATCATAAGTAAAGCCGGGGTTCGTGCAGATCCAAGAAGTCTACGACCTTTCAGAATGAGACTGATAAGAGGTAATGATTAATACGTTGACTGTTTTATACATATTGATAGGTAAAGATCTGTTAGAGTTTAATTCGGGAGATGGTAACTCTATAAACAACTTATTCCGTGGTGCCCCAAATCCTAATGAGTTAATTGTTACATTATTAATTTAATTGAGTAACAATTAAACATAGTTTGTTGATTTGATAAATAACAGTCATCATATTAATGAAAGTCACATCACGACAGACCTCAGCAACCCGAGCCAGGGTCTGTTCACTCTGCTACCTTCTGGCAGACCAAGACGGTACAGGTGCATTAAAGCCGGAACCGAGAGACTGAAAAACAGCTTCTATCTCCAGGCCATCAGACTGTTGAACAGCCATCACTAGCCAGCTACCTGCCCGGTACTCTGCCCTGCACCTTGATACTAATGCCACATGTATATAGAGTCATTGAATGCTGACCACCTCATATTCTGTTTATATACTGTTGTTTACTCATTCTATATGTATATAGTGTATTCTCGGCATAGCTCATCCTAATATACCTACTACTGTACATACCATTTTCTTTCCAAATTATATACTGTATACACATCATGTATTTATATTCTAGATTCTGACACAGGCTCACTCTAATATATCTACCCCTGGATTGTTAATTTAACCAGTTCTGCTATTTCTTGATTTCTTGTTTAGATTAATTTAATTATTTGTGTATTTGTATTGTATTTGCGAGACATTCTACTGCACTGTTGGAGCTGGAAACATAAGCATTTCGCTGCATCTGCTATAACACCTGCAGATCTGTGTACGCAACCAATAAGGTTTGATTTGATTTGACAAAGGGAATAGAGTGCCATTTGCGACGCATCCACTAAAAGGCTGTTTCCTATTACACTTGTCAGCGTATCTGTAACATTGATAATACATGAAACACACTCGTAAACACTGATATTACATGTTAACACACTGATTACACTGGTGTGTGTGCGTGTGTGTTTGTTTGTTGACCTTGCTCTTGCCTCTCCCTGTGCGTTGTCTCCTCTACGCTCGATGTATTGATGTGTTAATGGCTGGTCTATGTGACTGCACATTTATTGATGGCCACACTACATGTGTGATGAATGTGGTGCAACCAAGACTGATTTCTTACTGTTTAACCCTAAAACCTATGCTGTGATATTTTTGTGTGTATGTGTGTGTAGCTACTGCATGGCTTTTCTGTTGTCATATGTAAGCTAATGATCATGTAGCATTCATGTAGCATGATGACCATCCTCCTCTCCATCCCTCTTCCTCCATCGTCCCTCCATCCGCTGCTCTAGATTCTCTGTGTTTACTGGCCCTAGTAGCATCAGTGACCTGGCCACTAAGAAATCTGCTAATTGAGATAGCTGGTCTGGTTAGGCTCAATTCACATGTTAATCTCTGTCACCACATACACTAACTACTGTATTAGCAACAAGCAAACTAGGTTGCATTTACTAAAGCTCTCTGACCCTTGCTTCCAACTAATGCTATCTATAGCCGTTAAAATACTTCCAACCTAACGGCAACCTCAACCTAACATTGGAAAAATATATTTGTTTCTCTATCTAACGCCACTAACTCCGCTACTTCGCTGTGGCAGCGTGCCATACTGAAATGACCCCATCCTCTTTCTGCTTGGCTTGATGGCTTTAGCCCACCTGAGCCCATATGTATCAAGCGTTTCTAGGATCAGGACCCACCCTGTCCATAATAATCTGATTCATTATGATCTAAAAGGCTAAACTGATCCTAGATCAGCACTCCTACCCTGAGACGCTTGATAAATACGGGTTGTGATGTTCAATTCAACAACGAGGAGGAAGAGTATGATGATGATGGCGATGGTGGTGTGACTTAACGCTGGTGTCATTGGCTTGTGAACAGGAAGCTAGCGGCCGCAGTAAAGCTGGCCCAGGCCACCCAGAACAATGGCACCCTGAAGGGCTCTAACCATTCCGCCCAGTCCTCCTCAGGCCTGCTCCCTCAATGGTAAACACACAGTCGCTACCTAGGGTCCCTCCACACAGGGACCAGGGTGAAGTTTTCCCTACACCCAGATCTTGGATCAGTTTAGCATTTACCCCACTAATCGTTAAGGTTAGGAATGGGGGAGGGGAAGCTGATCCTAGATCTGTACCTAGGGGAAACTTCACCTCGGAGCTCCACACAGCGTCCGACACGAATTTACACCCATACGTACCCTTTTCACACTACTGAGCTGAGCCGAGCTGTACTCTGCTGGCCTGGTTACGCATCCACTATAGTTGCTGGAACCGTGCTGGAAAGGACACTGTGAAAATAAAATATTTCAGGTTGGCACAATAGTGAAAAGGGTAATAATAATACAGTGCATTCGGAGAGTATTCAGACCCCTTAACTTTTTCCACATTTTGTTACGTTACAGCTTTTTTTTCAAATGTGTGTAGATCGTTGACAAAAAAATGACAATTAAACCCATTTTAATCTCACTTTGTAACACAACAAAATGTGAAAAGGTTTAAAGGGGTGTAGACTTTCTATATGCACCGTATGTAACAATAGCTAGGTGTCTTTAACATGGAGTTGAGTGATAGAGGTAGAAAGGAGCTATTCTGTTCCACTTTATTTAGAACTTTTGTCCAGTAAGCTATACATTTTTTGTCCAGTAAGCTATACATTTTTTGTCCAGTAAGCTATACATTTTTAGTCCAGTAAACTATACATTTTTTGTCCAGTAAACTATACATTTTTTGTCCAGTAAACTATATATTTTTAGTCCAGGAAACTATAAGTAGGGCTTAAACCATCTGAGTTTGTGTACACCATTTGTCCTATTATGAGTTTAGTTCATCATTCCTGCTCATCAGTGTTGTCTTCATGGTCCTGAACACGTGACCATCCATGGTGGACATTGTGAGTGTGTCATGTGACATAGTGTGGCGGCCACTCTGTTTTCCCAGCATGCCCCTCAGTGTCTACCATACGTGTGGCGTGGTGTAATTGGCTAGTCCTTTGTCTGCATATCCTCCCCCTTTAAAAATAGATAGCCTGTCTTAACAGCAATCCCGTTTAACTACGTGGTCACATTGGAACCTATGCACTTGTGGAGATCTGATAGGATTTGACATGTGCAATCCATAAATGCTCCTCCAAGGTTAATTGGAGATTTCACCATATTGCTTATACCAATCACATCCTTTCAGATCTCCACAAGTGCATAGGGCATAGGGTCTAGGGGTCCATTTGGGATTGGGCCGCAGTGCAGAATTACAGGCTGTTTTCAAGGCGGAGTGAATATATCGGGTGTCGTGTTCACGAAATGCGAAACATTATGAAACGGGTAAAATGAGCGTTCTTATTGGACAAGTTCACAGAGTATCTCCTTTGTTTCAAAACGTTTTCACCTGATTCGTCCCTGCTGAACACCACCCAGACTTGTGAGGTTGAAAGTTATGTGTTGACCCTCTCACCTCTATCCCCTGACCGTCTGGTCACCAGGATGCTGTCAGGACAGGATGGCCATCGGCACGCCCGCTCCCAGACTATGCCCATCATCCGGGCCAAGAACGCCCTGACCAACCCCAAGCTGCTGCAGATGATGGAGACTGGTAATGCCCCCCTGAGTACACCCGCCTAATAACACTGCTGGGCACTGCCACCCCGGTCCCATTTCAAAACTGTTTAGTTCACATAGTTCACATGTTCCGTTAGTTAGTTAGCTTTTGTTGTCCAATGGCTTTTTTCCTCTTACTAACCATCAACAGTGCTAAGTAATATTACTTAGCTATTACAATTCTGTCTCCAGTGTTGTCTTTTGTTGGGTGTGTGAGGGTTATTGCTAGGGTTAGGGTTGTGCTGTTGTTGCTAGCTGTGCTTCTGTACCATTGACCCTTTCCTGTCCTTCCCTCAGATGGGAACATCCCAGAGGGTGACCACCTGAGCCCGACGGACATCGAGGCCAATCTGTCCACCGAGGTGGCCCTCATCGTACTGGATGTCCTGGGCCTCTTTGTCCATCACCACAAGGTCAGACAACAACACTGACCACTGTCTGAATGGTCAAACACCGATCTCTACAACCTACAGACCTGCTATGGTTGTGCAACTTTCCCAAAATTCCCAGGTTTTCCAGAAATCCCAGTTGGAAGATTCCTGGAATCACAAGGGAATAAACACGCAATCTGGGATTTCTGGAAAACCTGGGAATTGTGGGGGAAATTCCTAGAATTTTGCAATCCTAGACCTGTCATTCATGAGAGCCTATTTTAATACGCCACTGCCATCTTGTGGTTATTACTAAGAACTACAGTGACTTTCTCGCCAGGAATCCACATTAAATATCGCTCTGTTTCACTATTCACTATTGTTTCACTTCACTGAATCTGAGATATTCCGTTTGTATTCCAAGCTAGGGATTTTTATCTTCTGTTGTTCTTGTAGGTTGCTGTGCACTCCTCAATCCTCAAGTTGGCTGTCCCTCAAATCCTTCAATTGCTATACTCTGTAAAGCAACCCAGACATGCCGTTTTGTCTGTGTTTTGACCGTACCCATTTATGTCTGTGTCCCAAATGGCACCATTTTCTCTATATAGTGCACTACTTTTGACAAGAGCCTTATAGGCCCAGGTCAAAAATAGTGCACTATAGATGGAATAGGGTACCCTTATTCCCAGACTCAATTGGTACCGGCTGGTGGACGAGATTAAGAATAGGGTGCCATTTGGGAAGAACATATGTTGATTGTTGTTCTTTCTCTCCCACAGAAACAGTTACTGCAGGACGAGGGTCAGAACCTGCTGATGAAGAAGGTGTTCGACACCTACCTCCTGTTCTTCCAGATCAATCAGTCCACCAGCACCCTGAGACACGTCTTCGCTGCCCTGCGCCTCTTCATACAGAAGGTCTGTGCACTAGCTGATAGCTCTCACACACATACACGTATGCAAGCATACATGTGTGCACACACACACGCACACACTAACTGACTTCATGGACACAGAATGATTTCATAGTACATTACTAATGCAAACTCTCTCTCTCTTCCTTTCTCCCCCTCCCTACTCTCTCTCGCTCTTCCTCCTTACCCCCACATCTCTTCTCTCTATCTCCTTCCTTACCTCCCCTCTCTTTCTCCCTTCTTACGCCCTCCCCCCCTCTCTCTCTCTAGTTCCCCTCTGCGTTCTTCCAGGGTAAAGCGGACCTGTGTGGCTGCCTGTGCTACGAGATCCTGAAGTGCTGTAACCACCGCTCCAGCTCCACCCAGACTGAGGCCTCCGCACTCCTCTACTTCTTCATGAGGAAAAACTTTGAGTTCACCAAGGGAAAGTCCATCGTCCGCTCCCACCTACAGGTCAGTCAGTAGAGGTGCGGGGTGGGTATGTCTGGGTGGGTGGGAAAGGGTGTGTGTGCCAGAGCTTTCTTTATTTTCACTGTTTTGTTCGGTGAACACAGGGCCTGGATAGAGAAAGGCCACAATATATCTATGGCTTTGTTTACCTCTGAAACAGACAATTTAGCAGCCGATCAGAGACCACACACACACACAGATCGCCACACTGTTTCAGAGCGGTTGTGATCATCACCACACTGTTTCCTGTTCTCTCCTCCATCCCTCCAGCTGATCAAGGCAGTGAGTCAGCTGATAGCGGATGCTGGCATCGGGGGCTCACGCTTCCAACAGTCTCTGGCCATCATCAATAACTTTGCCAATGGAGATGCTCCTCTCAAGGTGAGAACAGGGACTGGACTGAGAAATTTCGGCGTCCCAAATGGCACCCTATTCCCTTTATAATCCACTACAGTATAAATCAGGGATGGGCAACTGGCGGGGGAACACAGTCAGGATCTCAACTTACTGTTGCGAGGTAGAATATTAGAAAACACAAGGTGCAATTTCTAAATTTGGTTGTGCATCAACAGTTTTTCTCTTGTAATGTCAGTCACTAATAGTCAATCAATTAGGCCATGTCAGCAAAACATTTTTGGATTGGTAAGTTAGTCTAGTGGCCAGCTATCTAAACTTGTAGTAACCAAGGTCTAGTTAGTAGTCAGTCTCACTCAGATATCATATTAAAAACTGGAAACATTTCTCTCCGCCCCATGGTAAATGTTTTAGAATTGCCCAAAATCGAATGTTATTTATCACATGCTTCGTAAAACAACAGGTGTAGACTAACAGTGAAATGCTTACTTACAGGCCCTTCCCAACAATGCAAAGAGAAAAAATTGAAATATAATAACACAAGGAATAAATACACAATGAATAATGATAACTTGGCTATATACACAGGGTACCAGTACCGAGTCGATGTGCAGGGGTACGAGGTAATTGAGGTAGATATGTACATATAGGTAGGGATAAAGTTTCTAGGCAACAGGATAGATAATAAACAGGAACAGCAGCGTATGTGATGAGTCAAAATAGTTAGTGCAGTAGCAGAGAGAACAGTCTATGACTTGGGTGGCTGGAGTCTGACAGTTTTTAGGGTCTTCCTCTGACACCGCCTATATGGCAATAGGGTTGAATTTGGGAGTCAGCCCTAGTGTTGAGGAATTAGAGAGTTAGTGATTCCTCTCTTAACTCCCTCTATTGACTAATAATGTTTGTATATACTGCGATTGTGTATACTGTCCGTGTTTGATCTGATGTGACGTCATGTCATGTCATGTACATTGTGTCTGTAACTGAGACACACAGAAGCCAAAAACCCTTTGTCCATGTTTACCACTAAAAGAACAATAAACCTTTATAAACTGTGATGTCAACGTGTATGATCCATCCTTTCTCCCAGAACACACCGTTCCCTGCTGAGGTGAAAGACTTGACTAAGCGGATCCGCACGGTGTTGATGGCCACGTCCCAGATGAAGGAGCACGAGAAGGACCCGGAGATGCTGGTGGACCTGCAATACAGCCTGGCCAACTCCTACGCCAGCACGCCCGAGCTCCGGCGCACCTGGCTGGAGAGCATGGCCAAGATACATGTCCGCAACGGAGACCTCTCCGAGGTACAGCAGGACTGGGTTACTGGGATATGTTATGGGTTATGTGATGTTATGTTATGAATAGGGTACAGAGATATGTACAGTGGGTATCATAAGTATTCACCCCCCTTGGATTTCTTCACATTCTGTTGCGTTACAAAGTGGGATTGAAATGAATTTAATTGAGTTTTTTGTCATAGATCTACAAAAAATACTCCATAATGTCAAAGTGAAAAGAAATTTCTACAAATGTTTACAAATGAATACAAATTAAATAACTAAAATATAGTTGTGGCGTAAGTATTCACCCCCTTTGTTTAGGCGAGACTAAATTACACTGAACAAAAATATAAATGCAACATGCAACAATTTCAAAGATTGTACTGAGTTACAGTTCATATAAGGATATCAGTCAATTTAAATAAATTATTTAGGCCCTAATCTATGGATTTCACATGACTGGGAATGCAGATATGCATCTGTTGTTCACAGATACCTTAGAAAAAAGGTAGGGGCGTGGATCAGAAAACCAGTCAGTATCTGGTGTGACCACCATTTGCCTCATGCAGCGCGACACATCTTGGTGCTCCGTTACTGCTTGCCGTGCGGTAGCAGAGAGAACAGTCTATGACTAGGGTGGCTTGAGTCTTTGTCTATTTTGAGGGCCTTCCTCTGACACCGCCTAGTATAAAGGTCCTGGATGACAGGAAGTTTGGCCCCAGTGATGTACTGGGGCGTACGCACTACCCTCTGTAGCGCCTTATGGTCGGATGCCGAGCAGTTGCCATACCAGGTGGTGATGCAACCGGTCAGGATGCTCTCGATGGTGCAGCTGTTGAACTTTTTGAGGATCTGAGGACCCATGCCAAATCTTTTCAGTCTCCTGAGGGGGAAAAGGTGTTGTCGTGCCCTCTTCAGGACTGTCTTGGTGTGTTTGGACCATGATAGTTTGTTGGTGATGTGGACACCAAGGAACTTGAAACTCTCGACCCGCTCCACTACAACCCTGTTGATGTGAATGAGGGCGTGTTCGGCCCTCCTTTTCCTGTAGTCCACGATCAGCTCCTTTGTCTTGCTCACGTTGAGGGAGAGGTTGTTGTCCTGGCACCACACTGCCAGGTCTCTGACCTCCTCCCTATTGGCTGTCTCATTGTTGTCGGTGATCAGGCCTACCACTGTTGTGTCGTCAGCAAACTTAATGATTGTGTTGGAGTCGTGCTTGGCAACGCATTTGTGGGTGAACAGGGAGTACAGGAGGGGACTGAGCACGCACCCCTGAGGGGCCCCCGTTTTGAGGATCAGCGTGGCAGATGTGTTGTTGCCTACCCTTACCACCTGGGGTCGGCCCATCAGGAAGTCCAGGATCCAGTTGCAGAGGGAGGTGTTTAGTCCCAGGGTCCTTAGCTTAGTGATGAGCTTTGTGGGCACTATGGTGTTGAACGCTGAGCTGTAGTCAATGAACAGCATTCTCACATAGGTGTTCCTTTTGTCCAGGTGGGAACGGGCAGTGAGGATTGCGATTGAAATTGCGTCATCTGTGGATCTGTTAGGGTGGTATGCGAATTGGAGTGGGTCTAGGGTTTCCGGGATGATGGTGTTGATGTGAGCCATGACCAGCCTTTCAAAGCACTTCATGGCTACCGACGTGAGTGCTACGGGGCGGTAGTCATTCAGGCAGGTTACCTTCGCATTCTTGGGCACAGGTTCTGCTTGAATGATGTGATGGTATCTGTGATTAAACTGTTCACCTCCTTTCCTCCTGTTCCTCTGTCCATCAGGCAGCCATGTGTTACATCCACATCTCAGCCCTGATCGCTGAGTCCCTCAAGAGGAGAGGTGAGCACAGCCTGGTGGGCCGCAACATGGCAACAAGCTTCTGCAGTGTGTGTATGTGTGCTCTCTAGCGTGTATATGTGTGTGTGGAGAACCTCTAACCTCTTTGCTTGTGAGTCTTCTGGACGCTTCTGGCCATCAATTGGCTGGACAGCATGTGTGACATCATCATGCAGCGCTGTGTGCATATGGCTACTTTAGCCTTTCTGCAAACATTTGTTCTGCTGTAGGGGTGGAAATGGTATGAGTGGGTTGGTGTGTGTGTGTGTGTGTGTGTATACATGTATGTGCATGTACGTGCTTGTGAGTTTGTTATACACTGTGGATGTGTGCATGCTTTTGTGTGTTGGCATATGACTTATTGTGTGTGTGTGTGTGTGTGTGTGTGTGTGTGAGAAGAGAGGTTAGTCAGAGCTGAGCTGTGTGTGCTCTGTCTCACAATCCCACTGTCTGGAAAACAATGACATCATCCAATCAGCACACAGAGACCTCAATGTGCTACGGTACTGGCCATCCACTCTTTACTCTCTCATACACAAACATAGCCTGCGTCCCAAATAGCACCATATTCCCTATATAGTGCACTACTTTTGACCAGAACCCAATGGGCCCTGGTCAAAAGTAGTGCACTACATAGGGAATAGGGTGCCATTTGGGACATTGCCCGTGTCTGCTGCTGTGAGTGCGACTTCACATCCTCTCATGTATAGTATGCGCTACTATGACATGGGAACTCGGTGTCTCCATCTGCACGCGTGTGTGCTTGCTAGCCCATGCATGCTTCACCGTTCAGAGCCTGAGCCGTCATCTCTCTCTCTCTTTCTGCCGCCGCTCGCCGTGTGTGGAACGCATGCCCTGTAAACCACTGGCTTGTCATGAAGAGAAAAAAGGCAAAACAGAAGTGAAAAGTTCCAAGTATGTACAGTAAACTCCTATACTCCTCCTTATAACGCAGGCTACTGGAAACCTGACAAGGCCAGGATGTCAAGTGTGGTTCCTGAGGAGCCCAATGTCATTATCTGTAGCCCCTTACTAACCCCCCGAGATGGAGAAAGTGAGTGTGCCGCCCTGGGGCCGGGCCATGGAACAGGGATGCGTAAAGGGTGGGGGGGATTCAAGCTATGCTTACTTCAGAATCAGAACTTTATTCGCCAAGTACATTTACATCTACCAGGAATTTAACGTTGTGAAATGGTGCTGACAGCAATAAACAGAATATACAGAACGTACACATAATCTACATACAGCATACAATATAGATAGTGAAAACAGTTTACTTGGACCAAAATTTGACTGCAACTAGCAGAATGGAGTCTGAATTCTTACAGGTGCACAGTGTAATGTTTTGAAGTCCACTGCAATGGCTTAACCATACCACTTAGAACGAAGCAATGTATTGGACATGCATTCTAAGTGGTATACTGAACATACCTTATGACTCAAAAGACTAGCAGAATGGAGTCCAGACAGGTATGATGTTTTGAAGCCCACTGATTTGCCTTTACTATTGAAAGATGTCTTTGGTCTACCTTGCCTTTTGAGAGATGCCTTTTATTGATGTCCACTCAAGTTTCACTTGAAATGTGTAAAGAAAGCACGTTCACAATGAATGGTGTTACTGTTCTTTGTTTGGATTTGTTGATATGGAACACAAGGAATGTTAAGTACCACAGTGTAACTGTGTGTGTGTTGTTACCGTGTGTGTGTGCACACCATGCGAGTGTGCGTCTGTCTGTCTGTGTGTGTGTGTGTGTGTGTGTGTGAGTTAGCGAGAGTGTGTGGTGTATGGGTTCAAACCATTGGATGATGAAATGCACACAAGCATAAAGAAGAGAGTGACAAAATGTTGTTCCTATGAGCTCTCTGCTCCTATGTCCCTCCTTCTCTGATGTCATATCCTGTGTGAAACCTCAGCGTCGTTCTCCATGGGCTGGGCGGCCTTCCTGTGCGTCTCACCGAACGTGAAGGAAGAGGGGGCCATGAAAGAGGACACAGGGACTCAGGATACCCCCTACACTGAGGTACCCTCACCCCCACTGGCTCCAGTACAAATAATTGTATAGATTTTTCAGCTCAGATTTGGAAGATCATTTAATGGCAATACAGTGCAGAGCCAGGGCCCGTATTCATAAAGTGTCTCAGAGTACGAGTGCTGATCTAGGATCAGGTCGTCCCTCTTATTCATTATGACTTAAAATGCTAGACAGATCCTAACCTCCCTGTTTATGTAGGATACTCTGGTGGAGCAGCTGGAGCTGTGCGTGGACTACCTGTGGAAGTCTGAGAGGCACGAGCTCATCGCCGATATCAACAAACCCGTCATTGCCGTCTTTGAGAAGAGGCGAGATTTCAAGGTGACTGGGGGGATAGGACGAGGTTGTTTCTTGTCCAGGCCAGAAACACTCGGACAGGAGGGAGATAGTGTGATAGCAGTTGTGATTGACATTGTGTGTGTGTGCGTGATCCACAGAGGCTGTCGGAGCTGTACTACGACATCCACCGCTCCTACCTGAAGGTGACAGAGGTCGTGAACTCTGAGAAGCGTCTGTTTGGCCGATACTACCGCGTGGCGTTCTACGGACTGGTAAGTGCCATCATAGCCACAGAAGACACTGAAAATGACAAACACACCTTATAGATAGGTGTGTGTGTACCGTGTACCTAGCCTGAGTGCCAGTCTTTGTGCTATCATGCTAACTCCTTGTTACTCATTGTCATGTTTGGCATCGATCTGGATCATACATACAGACTGGCACTCAGGCTAGCGTGTACCATCCCTGCTCCGGGATTCAGTCCTTCAGGTCTCAGGGGAGGAGGAATGATGTCACAGCGCGATGCTAAACTAGCTTCAACTAGCTTCTACTAGCTTTGACTAGCTTGATAGCCTCCACATCTGCAGCATACAGTACATGCTATAGCCCTCCGGTACGAACCCAGTCTCCTCTGTCTTTTGTCCCATAAGGGACGTCAAACTCCTACATTCACTAAGCTGGTTGGACACATCTTAGAAGAGCCTGAATCCTTTAGACATTGAACCTTTGGGGAATGGAGAGAGGGGTAGATCACAACTGGTCTCTAGTCAGTCTCTTTAATTCCTCCATCTGCTGTGTTTCTTTTCTTCCTTTTGGTTTTTCTGTATCAAGATTGCGGTAAGTTTGTGTCTCTTTTTGTTTCTCATCTTCTTTGCTCCTCTTACCTTCTCTCTTTCCTCTGCTCTCCCTTCACCGGTAGTAGCTTCTCTAACCTGTCTTCGAAGATATATGCTGTATACATATTGTTATGCGCTTCTATATGATATGTATACCTACCGGGATTTGGGGTCGATTCTATATCAATTCAGTCAATTCAGGAATATAAATGAGGAAATTGGCATTGGAATTTCAGTTTACTTCCTGAGTTGAAGGAATTTATATAGAATTGACCCCAACCCTGATACCTACCCCGATACCTACATCCTATAATCTCCAGTAATCTTTTTCCCTTCAACGATCACAATCTCTAATCTTTAGCTCCTGTGAACAGATCTTAGAACAGTTGGTGTCAAGATGACATAGCAGCATACATGCAGGCAGGCCAGGGCCTGTATTCACAAAGCATCTCTGAATGGGACTGCTGATTTTAGGATCTGTTTAGCATTTTAAATCATAATGAATAAGAGGGGCGACCTGATCCTAGATCAGCACTCCTACTCTGAGACACTTTATGAATACGGGCCCTGGTCATGAATGTTGGAATGTAGGGCTCTTTCTCAACTCATCTCTCCTCGATTCCTCTCATCCCCTCTTCTCACAGCCTCCTTCTCCAAACCGAGGGTCTGAGTGGAGGGACTTTGGACTAGGGTTGAATATTTTCCCAGAATTTTACAAATGTTCCATCCCGAGAATAAATCACTTTTTTCCCAGGTAACCCGGTGTTTCCCGGCAAAACCAGAAGTGTCATTCAAAAGCAGATAAATCATTTAAATAGCCTATGTCTGGATTTGATTAGAGCTTTGATCGAAAATTCAAGCCTGATGCTACCTGAGCCTGATGAGCCATACATTAAATACATTTTATGAGCCCTACATTAAAGACATTTAATGAGCCCAAAAAAGCCCAAATGATTGTGCTGTTATCCAATACATATATATGATACGGTAGGCTACTGCACATTACGCACAACTGAAAAAAAAATTAAAAGCCCATAGATGTAGCTACAGTGAGGGGAAAAAAGTATTTGATCCCCTGCTGACCCACTGACAAAGAAATGATCAGTCTATAATTTTAATGGTAGGTTTATTTGAACAGTGAGAGACAGAATAACAACAAAAAAATCCAGAAGAACGCATGTCAAAAATTTTATAAATTGATTTGCATTTTAATGAGGGAAATAAGTATTTGACCCCCTCTCAATCAGAAAGATTTCTGGCTCCCTGATGTCTTTTATACAGGTAACGAGCTGAGATTAGGAGCACACTCTTAAAGGGAGTGCTCCTAATCTCAGCTTGTTACCTGTATAAAAGACACCTGTCCACAGAAGCAATCAATCAATCAGATTCCAAACTCTCCACCATGGCCAAGACCAAAGAGCTCTCCAAGGATGTCAGGGACAAGATTGTAGACCTACACAAGGCTGGAAAGGGCTACAAGAACATCGCCAAGCAGCTTGGTGAGAAGGTGACAACAGTTGGTGCGATTATTCGCAAATGGAAGAAACACAAAAGAACTGTCAATCTCCCTCAGCCTGGGGCTCCATGCAAGATCTCACCTCGTGGAGTTGCAGTGATCATGAGAACGGTGAGGAATCAGCCCAGAACTACACGGGAGGATCTTATCAATGATCTCAAGGCAGCTGGGACCATAGTCACCAAGAAAATAATTGGTAACACACTACGCCGTGAAGGACTGAAATCCTGCAGTGCCCGCAAGGTCCCCCTGCTCAAGAAAGCACATATACATGCCCGTCTGAAGTTTGCCAATGAACATCTGAATGATTCAGAGGACAACTGGGTGAAAGTGTTGTGGTCAGATGAGACCAAAATGGAGCTCTTTGGCATCAACTCAACTCGCCGTGTTTGGAGGAGGAGGAATGCTGCCTATGACCCCAAGAACACCATCCCCACTGTCAAACATGGAGGTGGAAACATTATGCTTTGGGGGTGTTTTTCTGCTAAGGGGACAGGACAACTTCACCGCATCAAAGGGACGATGGACGGGGCCATGTACCGACAAATCTTGGGTGAGAACCTCCTTCCCTCAGCCAGGGCATTGAAAATGGGTTGTGGATGGGTATTCCAGCATCACAATGACCCAAAACACACGGCCAAGGCAACAAAGGAGTGGCTCAAGAAGAAGCACATTAAGGTCCTAGAGTGGTCTAGCCAGTCTCCAGACCTTAATCCCATAGAAAATCTGTGGAGGGAGCTGAAGGTTCGAGTTGCCAAACGTCAGCCTTGAAACCTTAATGACTTGGAGAAGATCTGCAAAGAGGTGTGGGACAAAATCCCTCCTGCGATGTGTGCAAACCTGGTTGCCAACTACAAGAAACGTCTGACCTCTGTGATTGCCAACAAGGGTTTTGCCAGTGCTAAGTCATGTTTTGCAGAGGGGTCAAATACTTATTTCCCTCATTAAAATGCAAATCAATTTAGAACATTTTTGACATGCGTTTTTCTGGATTTGTTTGTTGTTATTCTGTCTCTCACTGTTCAAATAAACCTACCATTAAAATTATAGACTGATAATTTATTTGTCAGTGGGTAAACGTACAAAATCAGCAGGGGATCAAATACTTTTTTCCCCTCACTGTAGCTAAATGCATTCTTGGGTAATTAAATGAAAGAAGCTCCAGTAGACGAATCTTTTTTAGTGTGAAGTGAACTGTATTACTGTACCATATTCTATTATACTGTATAATATGGACTGGAATTACACACCTCGTTCAAACCATGATGAAGATGAAGAGAACATGCGATTCTGGTGCAGCACATGCGGCCTACAAAGTTAAAAGCATAGGCTAGTGATTTTAATAATAATAATAATAATAGGGCCTATTTGTATAATTAGTAGGCTGACGCATATATACCTTTCATAATATTTATCCTAATCTTATTAGCCTACCTCCTCTTTCTCTATTGTTGCTTCATCCCTTCCTCGCTTTCAACAGTTAAATGAAATAAGTTCCATTGTCCCTATCTTCATCATTCCAATGACATGCTTGAATAATATAGGACTAGAATTAGGTGCAGACAGCTTTCACTTCTCTTCACGAAGATTGAATGGTTATGGGTCTGAATAAATAACTGCTATAGCCTACCGCCATTGCGCGTTCGCTCTTCTTTCAAACTACCCGTGAGTTCTATTGGCTGCTGTATTTAACATTCAGAAAACAAGAGCTTGCGTCCCTCTTCGAATTGTCTATTGGTATAAGAAATGCAAAAAAATTAAAATAATCCCGCAAGCTATTCTAGTCTAGCTTTTCCTGCATGGGACTCCAAGAGCTAAGGAGAGATTTTTAAGGAGAGAGGCCAGTGGAGCACAGGTGCGTGCGTATTGCGCAAGAGACAGAGGCTAGTTAGAAGCTTATTATGCATAATCCATCACCTGAAAGAGGTAGGCTAGGACATCTATCTATATATATATATATACACTGCTCAAAAAAATAAAGGGAACACTTAAACAACATAATGTAACTCCAAGTCAATCACACTTCTGTGAAATCAAACTGTCCACTTAGGAAGCAACACTGATTGACAATACATTTCACATGCTGTTGTGCAAATGGAATAGACAACAGGTGGAAATTATAGGCAATTAGCAAGACACCCCCAATAAAGGAGTGGTTTTGCAGTTGGTGACCACAGACCACTTCTCAGTTCCTATGCTTCCTGGCTGATGTTTTGGTCACTATTGAATGCTGGCGGTGCTTTCACTCTAGTGGTAGCATGAGACGGAGTCTACAACCCACACAAGTGGCTCAGGTAGTGCAGCTCATCCAGTATGGCACATCAATGCGAGCTGTGGCAAGAAGGTTTGCTGTGTCTGTCAGCGTAGTGTCCAGAGCATGGAGGCGCTACCAGGAGACAGGCCAGTACATCAGGAGACGTGGAGGAGGCCGTAGGAGGGCAACAACCCAGCAGCAGGACTGCTACCGCCGCCTTTGTGCAAGGAGGAGCAGGAGGAGCACTGCCAGAGCCCTGCAAAATGACCTCCAGCAGGCCACAAATGTGCATGTGTCTGCTCAAACGGTCAGAAACAGACTCCATGAGGGTGGTATGAGGGCCCGACGTCCACAGGTGGGGGTTGTGCTTACAGCCCAACACCGTGCAGGACGTTTGGCATTTGCCAGAGAACACCAAGATTGGCAAATTCGCCACTGGCGCACCGTGCTCTTCACTGATGAAAGCAGTTTCACACTGAGCACATGTGACAGACGTGACAAAGTCTGGAGACGCCGTGGAGAACGTTCTGCTGCCTGCAACATCCTCCAGCATGACCGGTTTGGTGGAGATCCCTCAGGAGACCATCCGCCACCTCATCAGGAGCATGCCCAGGCATTGTATGAAGGTCATACAGGCACGTGGAGGCCACACACACTACTGAGCCTCATTTTGACTTGTTTTAAGGACATTACATCAAAGTTGGATCAGCCTGTAGTGTGGTTTTCCACTTTAATTTTGAGGGTGACTCCAAATCCAGACCTAAATTTGATTTCCATTGATAATTTTTGTGCGATTTTGTTGTCAGCACATTCAACTATGTAAAGAAAAAAGTATTTAATAAGATTATTTCATTCATTCAGATCTAGGATGTGTTATTTTAGTGTTCCCTTTATTTTTTGGAGCAGTGTATATATATATATATCAATCTTGAATAGACTGCTGGCGCATGCTCTGATTTAAAGCAGCGATATTCGAGTGAGTCAAAACTATGCAGCTACAATTTAAAAAATAAAATCTTTACAATAAAAAATGAAGGTGACCACCGAAAGCCAGATGGAGATGGGTAAATTAGACGCACATTCTGTCCTTATATTACAGTAGCATAGGCTATGCTGCAGAAAATGTAGCCTACCTGTCACAAGAACAAAAGTTACCATGATGAGATGATAGGTCTACATGCATTGTGAACTGCACTCCATACTGAGATGGGCTGTCTGTCCCCACCATGAGCGTTGATGATTGATCATGCAGAGAGCGGAGAGGAGGCCGTAGAGAAACAATATTTCGACATTGCATATAATTTAACAGTTCCATTTCACGTCATGCTGTTGATATAAATCATTTATTCAAATGTACCGGTTTCTCGCAGTTATTTATCCCGGGAAAAGGGAGTGGTTTTGGGCAGTAAATCTCAGTAACCGCGTTCCCACCATTCAACCCTACCTTGGACCTTTTCCTCCAATACGGTTAAGAAAGAGACAAGGGCCTCCCGAGTGGCGCAGTGGTGTAAGGCACTGCATCGCAGTGCTTGAGGCGTCACTACAGACCCGGTGGCACAGCCGGCCGTGACCGGGAGACCGGCGGCGCACAATCGGCCCAGCGTCGTCCGGGTTAGGGGAGGGTTTGGCTGGCTGGGATTTCCTTGTCCCATCGTGCTCTAGCGACTCCTTGTGGCCAGCCGGGTGCCTGCAAGCTGACTTCGGTCGCCAGCTGGACGGTGTTTCCTCTGACACATTGGTGCGGCTGACTTCTGGGTTAAGCAAACAGTGTGTCAAGAAGCAGGGTCGTGTTTCGGAGGACGCATGGCTCTCGACCTTCGCATATCCCGAGTCCGTAGGGGAGTTGCAGCAATGGGACAAGACTGTAACTACCAATTGGATATCACGAAAAAGGGGTAAAGTACAAAAAATACAAATAAAAAAAAAAGGAAGGAAGGAGGATATAGGATGCGAGGAATCGAAGAAAGACTAATTGAGACAGAGCCTAGGAGTTGATTCCAAAGGAAAGAGCACACCGTCTGAAAATAACCCTCATTGCCCTTTGACCCCATGGTGCTTTGAGAATGACCTCTGACCTCTAAATGGCCTCTGTTTTATCTAGAACATAACATTGCAATTTTGTCAGTGCCTTTTATGATTACGATTGTGTTCTAACAAGCTGACGTAACACTAAGAAACATGACTAGACTGATAGGGAAGCGCAGTAAACCACTAGGAGGTGATGTGAGCCTAGATATTCCAGCTAAAGGTTATTCATATTCAGCTAAGTGATGGAAACAGAAACCAAAGGGCCACAGTTGTACACAATACATGCACATATACATACTCTTCAAAGTATTGACGCAGGCATTGCATTCAGACAAACAGACACACACACACACAGAGAGACACATTTACATGACATTTTACATTTTGGTCATATAACAGAAGCTCTTATACAGAGTGACTTACAGTCAGGAGCACAGACAAGCACGCATACACACACACACACACACAGGTGCTTGGGTAACATGGTGTTTCTGTAACAGGGTTTCTTTGAGGAGGAGGAGAGTAAAGAGTTCATCTATAAGGAGCCTAAGCTGACAGGACTGTCCGAGATCTCCCAGAGGCTCCTCAAACTCTACTCTGACAAGTTCGGGGCCGACAACGTCAAGATGATCCAGGACTCCAACAAGGTCAGTCTACTATCTCTCCCCAGCTTTCAAACACTGTCACATTTACAGTTGAAGTCGGAAGTTTACCATACACTTAGGTTGGAGTCATTAAAACTCGTTTTCCAACCACTCCACAAATGTCTTGTTAACAAACTATAGTTTTGGCAAGTCGGTTAGGATATCTACTTTGTGCATGACACAAGTCATTTTTCCAACAATTGTTTACAGACAGATTATTTCACTTATAATTCACTGTATCACAATTCCAGTGGGTCAGAAGTTTATATACACTAAGTTGACTGTGCCTTTAAACAGCTTGGAAAATTCCAGAAAATGATGTCATGGCTTTAGAAGCTTCTGATAGGCTAATTGACGTCATTGGAGTCAATTGGAGGTGTACCTGTGGATGTATTTCAAGGCCTACCTTCAAACTCAGTGCCTCTTTGCTTGACATCATGGGAAAATCAAAAGAAATATACCCAAAAATTGTAGACCTCCACAGTCTGGTTCATCCTTGGGAGCAATTTCCAAACACCTGAAGGTACCACGTTCATCTGTACAAACAATAGTACGCAAGTATAAACACCATGGGACCACACAGCCGTCATACCGCTCAGGAAGGAGATGCGTTCTGTCTCCTAGAGATCAAAGTACTTTGGTGCGAAAAGTGCAAATCAATTTCAGAACAAGGAAGGACAAGAACCTTGTGAAGATGCTGGAGGAAATGGGTACAAAAGTATCTACAGTCGTGGTCAAAGGTTTAGAAAATTACACAAATATTAATTTTCACAAATTCTGCTGCCTCAGTTTTTATGATGGCAATTTGCATATACTCCAGAATGTTATGAAGAATGATCAGATTAATTGCAATTAACATTTCCACTGCATTTTAGCCCTGCCACAAAATGACCAGCTGACATCATGTCAGTGATTCTCTCGTTAACACAAGTGAGAGTGTTGACGAGGACAAGGCTGGAGATCACTCAGTCATGCTGATTGAGTTAGAATAACAGACTGGGAGCTTTAAAAGGAGGGTGGTGCTTGAAATCCCCTGTAGCTCAGTTGGTAGAGCATGGCGCTTGCAACGCCAGGGTTGTGGGTTCGTTTCCCACGGGGGACTAGTATGAAAAATGTATGCACTCACTAACTGTAAGTCACGCTGGATAAGAGCGTCTGCTAAATGACTAAAATGTAAATGTAAAATGTTAATCATTGTTCTTCCTCTGTTAACCATGGTTACCTGTAAGGAAACACATGCCGTCATCATTGCTTTGCACAAAAAGGGCTTCACAGGCAAGGATATTGCTGCTAGTAAGATTGCACCTAAATCAACCATTTATCGGCTCATCAAGAACTTCAAGGAGAGGGGTTCAATTGTTGTGAAGAAGGCTTCAGGGCGCCCAAGAAAGTCCAGCAAGCGCCAGGACCATCTCCTAAAGTTGATTCAGCTGCGGGATCGGGGCACCACCAGTGCAGAGCTTGCTCAGGAATGGCAGCATTCAGGTGTGAGTGCATCTGCACGCACAGTGAGGCGAAGACTTTTGGAGGATGGCCTGGTGTCAAGAAGGGCAGCGAGGAAGCCACTTCTCTCCAGGAAAAACATCAGGGACAGACTGATATTCTGCAAAAGGTACAGGGATTGGACTGCTGAGGACTAGGGTAAAGTCATTTTCTCTGATGAATCCCATTTCCGATTGTTTGGGGCATCCGGAAAAAAGCTTGTCCGGAGAAGACAAGGTGAGAAATAAAAGCTGAAATAAATAATTCTCTCTACTATTATTCTGACATTTCACATTCTTAAAATAAAGTGGTAATCCTAACTGACCTAAGACAGGGAATTTTTACTAGGATTAAATGTCAGGAATTGTGAAAAACTGAGTTTAAATGTATTTGGCTAAGGTGTATGTAGACTTCTGACTTCAACTGTATATGTTTCATATACAGTGTTATTCTAAGTGTATCGGCCTCTTTAGTACTTGTCTCTGTTTCTTTCATAGAAAGATTGCTGTCAAAATGTTGTAAATAAATGAATGTACTACTACATTTTGACAGCAATCTTTCTCCATAGAAAAGCAGCCAGTGAAGTAGTGATTCATTTAGACCATGGGTCTCCAACAGGTCGATCGCGAGCTACCAGCAGCTCGCCAAACAATTCTGAAAGTATATGCAATTTTCACGTGTTCCATCGCAGAATGTCATAAACAAATCTCACAAGTATCAGACGCCGCAAGCTCCCAGCTACTACGTGATCAAAGCAACTTGACATTATCCCACCCCTGGTTAGCCACTATTGGCTTAAAAAGCCAAACCTAACACAATATCTGCCAATTAATATCCAGCAATATTGCCCCTGCCTGTCTGTGTGCTGCCCGCGTTTGTCTATCACTCCATGTGTAGCCAGTTGATGTGATAACCATCTAAAAATTTTTTTTTTTTTTTTTTTCGGGGGGATAACCATCTAAATTAAATGTTAACTGCAAAGTAGGTTTACCTGGCAGAAGTAGTCCCCTGTAGCTCAGTTGGTAGAGCATGGCTCTTGCAACGCCAGGGTTGTGGGTTCGTTTCCCACGGGGGGCCAGTATGAATTTTTTCTCTCTGGATTTCGCTCTGGATAAGAGCGTCTGGTAAATATGTAAAATGTAAATGTAAGTATATCATGAGTAAGTATATAATTTGTATCTAACTTAGCTATGAAATGAGCAGCAGCAGCATCGCTAGACCGGCCATTAGACTGCACATTCCTCACTCACTAGATGAGCAATTAATGGGGCATTATGCTCAAAAATCTACATTTGTTAGTTTTCGTCCAGGCCTACACATCAGCAACCACAGCTAGTAAAGTCACTGCAACCCTAAACAAAGAGTTTCAGTCAGTTTTAGAAAAGGTGGCCAGTAATAAACTGTTCTTGACCATCTCTAAAACTAATAGCATTGTATTTGGTACAAAGTTCTAGACCTCAGCTGAATCTGGTAATGAATGGTATGGCTGTTGAGCAAGTTCAGGAGAATTACTTGGTGTTACCTTAGATTGTATACTGTAGATTCAATGGTTATAAAGATGGGGAGAGAGCTTTTCTTTTTTGACACCACACTCCACAATGCAAGTCCTGCAGGCTCTAGTTTTATCTTATCTTGATTATTGTCCAGTCATATGATTCAGAGATTCAGAGTGTTTAAAAGGTCACATGTACAGGGTTGCAGGTGTGATTGCAGGGTACAGTGAAAATCAAGAAGGACTAAGTGAAATACAATAATGAATACAAAATAAATAGAAATAGCACTATATACATCATAACTGTAGCAGTGATGAATAACTAAATGTCCATTGGGGGGAGGCAGAGTAAAGACTTTAGGGGGTGGGGGGGGGATGACCATAGGGGGAGCAGCATGGCCATTGAGGGGGTGTGGGGACCAAGTGAAATCAAAACAATACAAATTATATATTATTATATGGTCTGAACCCCGCCCTGTGCAACTGGGTCCTGGACTTCCTGACAGGCCGCCCCCAGGTGGTGAAGGTAGGAAACAACATCTCCACTTCGCTGCTCCTCAACACTGGGGCCCCACAAGGGTGCGTGCTCAGCCCCCTCCTGTACTCCCTGTTCACCCATGACTGCGTGGCCAAGCACGCCTCCAACTCAATCATCAAGTTTGCAGACGACACAACAGTAGTAGGCTTGATTACCAACAATGACGAGACCGCCTACAGGGAGGAGGTGAGGGCTCTGGGAGTGTGGTGCCAGGAAAATAACCTCTCACTCAACGTCAACAAAACAAAGGAGATGATCGTGGACTTCAGGAAACAGCAGAGGGTGCACCCCCCTATCCACATCGACGGGACTGCAGTGGAGAAGGTGGAAAGCTTCAAGTTCCTTGGCGTACACATCACTGACAAACTGAAATGGTCCACCCATGCAGACAGTGTGGTGAAGAAGGTGCAACAGAGCCTCTTCAACCTCAGGAGCCTGAAGAAATTTGACTTGTCACCTAAAACCCTCACAAACTTTTACAGATGTACAATTGAGAGCATCCTGTCGGGCTGTATCACCGCCTGGTACGGCAACTGCACCGCCCGCAACCGCAGGGCTCTCCAGAGGGTGGTGCGGTCTGCCGAATGCATTACCGGGGGCAAACTACCCGCCCTCCAAGACACCTACAGCACCCGATGTCAAAGGAAGGCCAAAAAGATCATCAAGGACATCAACCACCTGCCTGTTCACCCCGCTATGCATCAAAGCTGGGACCGAGAGAATGAAAAACAGCTTCTATCTCAAGGCCATCAGACTGTTAAATAGCCATCACTAGCACATTACCGGCTGCTGCTGCCTATTGAAATCACTGGCCACGTTAAGAAATTGAACACTAGTCACTTTAATAATGTTTACATATCTTGCACTACTCATCTCATATGTATATACTGCATTCTATTCTATAATATTCTACTGTATCTTAGTCCATGCCGCTCTGTCATTTCTTGTCCATATATGTATATTTTCTTAAATTCCATTCCTTACTAGATTTGTGTGTATTGGGTATATGTTGTGAAATTGTTAGATATTACTTGTTAGATATTACTGCACTGTCGGAGCTAGAAGCACAAGTATTTCGCTACACCCGCAATAACACCTGCTAAACACGTGTATGTGACAAATAAAAATTGCTTTGATTTGATTTGGTCAAGTGCTGCAAAGAAGGACCTAGTTAAGCTGCAGCTGGCCCAGAACAGAGCAGCACTTTTTGCTCTTCATTGTAATCACAGGGCTAATATCAGTACTATACATGCCAGTCTCTCTTGGCTAACAGTTGAGGAAAGACTGACTGCATCACTTGTTTTTATAAGAAACATTAATGTGTTGGAAATTCCAAATTGTTTGCATAGTCAATTTACACACAGCACTGGCACACACACTTACCCCACCAGACATGCCAACAGTCTCCAACAGTCTTTTCACAGTCTCCAGGTCCAGAACAAATTCAAGGAAACGTACAATATTATACAGAGCCATGATTGCATGGAACTCATATAGCGCAAGTGAACAGCAAACGTGTTTAAAAAAAAACGAAAAAGCAACACCTCACGGCACAACGCCTCTCGCTCATGTGACCTACTTTTTGTGTGTACAGATGTAGGATCTTAATTTGAGCCAGTTTGCTACAGCAGGAAAATAATCCTGCAGCAACAGGAAATGTAAATTAGTGTTTTATAAATAATTTTAAAAATGTGTAGGGGTTGATAAATGTTTCATTAGGGCAAATCAAGTCTGACATTTTAAAGTGGAAATTACACACTTTAGAAGCCTTTTAAACCTCAAATACACTACAAGTTTGCATTTCCAGCTGTACAGGAAAATACCTGCAACAACAGGATGATCAAATTAAGATATGGCATCTGTATGTACTGACATGTATGTGTAACCGATAGATTCATACATACACACACGCGCACTACATGTTAATGTTTTAAATGTATGTCAATTCTAAAGTATTTTGTCTGTAATGTATATTTTGTTATGTGTCGAACCCCTGTAAGACTAGCTGTCTCCATTGGTGTCGGCTAATGGGAATCCTAATAAAATCTAAATATACACTTCATCGTTCACCATATAGGTGAACAGATTAGTAGCCTTGCATGCCAGGCTTCTAGGTTGAGCAAGAATACAACTGACTGACTACGCAAGACTGACTATGAGACTGACTCAGCGAGATTAAAGAGACCAGCACAAACCTCATTAGACTGATTTTTGAAGAGAGCAGGGTCGTTAGACACCAAATGGTGGAAAACGGACCAAAACCAGGAGAGGCTACCTGAATTTCTCCAATAAGTAACTCTCGTTTTTGTTTGCGAAACATGTTCCATTGCAAAAATATTTTGCTACGGTTTTCTACGGTGTGTAGTAATGAATACGACCCAGACTGTGAACTGATTGTTCTGTTTGACGTACCCACCAGGTAAATCCTAAAGACCTGGACTCCAAGTACGCCTACATCCAGGTAACCTACGTAGTGCCCTACTTCGACGACAACGAGCAGCAGGAGAAGAAGACGGACTTCGAGCGACATCACAACATCAGTCGCTTCGTGTTCGAGACGCCTTTCACTCTGTCGGGGAAGAAACATGGCGACGTGGAGGAGCAGTGCAAGAGACGCACCATACTAACCAGTGAGTTATTAAAAAGGTCATTTTTGCTCATATTTTAATCCAAAGAGCTGTCAACATTGACTGTCACATATATTCAGTATGTGGAATGTGCAGGATTCGAACCTACAACCCAGGTGATGCTGTAACCCACCGAGCCATTGGCTTGTATGGTAGTACACTATACTAATAGGAAGTGTCTGACTAACCAGTAAATACTGAGCTGTAAATGTTTGAATCACTAGTATACTGACCAGTGCTGTAACCAGTGACTGATTCTGACCAGTAAAGTTATGGTGTAGGTTCAATGGTTTTCCCTTCAAAATGAAAGAAAGATCGGACAGAAATTACTAAAAAAAAAGAAAAACAGTTCTGGTTTAATACAATAAAATATATCCCATCTAGCAGACAATTTTATCCAAAGCAAGTTATTACAGTAGTGCGTGCATACATTTTTTCATATGGGTAGCCCCAGCGGGCGTCAAACCCACAGTCCTGACTCATGCTCTACCAACTGAGCCACCCAGGACCACAAGGTTTAACCAATTGGTTCCTCATACCTTGTGTCTACTCCCCCTTTTCTTTATCCCCACCCAGCGAACTCCACCTTCCCCTACCTGAAAAAGCGTATCCAGGTGGTGGAGCAGCAGAGCACGGAGATGAACCCCATCGAGGTGGCCATCGACGAGATGTCCTGCAAGGTGTCCGAGCTCAACCAGCTGTGTGCCATGGCAGAGGTGGACATGATCCGGCTGCAGCTCAAACTGCAGGGTAGTGTCAGCGTCAAGGTAAGGGGTAGGGGTGGAGGAGGAGAAAGATGGAGAGAGACACACAGAAGAGAGTTGAGTTGAGAGGACATAGCAGAGCTGATCCACACGTACAGTCACACACCCTGGCGTAGGACGCACCCCTTTATAAAACACCTTTATAATAAAGCATTGCATGCATATCATCGCATTTGCGTGGTTGCATAGAGCAGTAGAGTAGAGGTGCTTGCAGAAGTTGCACACATGGGGAAATCTTTTTGTAGCCTATGGTCTGGGGAAAAATGTTGCCTTTTATAAACACATTTCATGGATGTCTACGTCATTTTACATGACTGGAGACTTTAGCCTAATATTTTTTTATACCGTACATATGATTGAAATGGCAGGCTACTTGGACACTGACAAACTGAGAATCTAACATCAATAAAAACGATCTTGTTTTGAATCAATCAACAACCTAGGCTTAGGTGTGTGGAGACACATATATTGTACAATATGAGGAAGAAATTATAGTCCAGTTTCACTGACTCACCCATTAATGTGCAGCTCACGCACCGAAGATGGCCGACGCGCTTGTGCCAAAAGCCTGTCTCTCTCTTGTTTTGGGGCTACTTTGTAAAAAAATGCTGTTCGCTCAATAGGCCTGTTTGGAAGTTGATAGAATATTTTGGTAGCCTCAGACAGATTAGATTATTTTATTTTCAGCAGGAGCTATTTGTTTTCCAACCTGTGTTTTCCCACGATTGTATTTGAAATATTGCGAAAGGCCTGTTCACTGACAGATTTGCCGCACATTCCGGACTGTAGGCTATGCATTGTAATTGGGCTACTCACAATCCACAGCTAGGCAATACAAATAAAAGCAATTGATCCTCTGTGGCTAAATTATAGGCCTACTCCTGGTGTAGTATTCTGAATTATTTCATTTCTTTCTGAACAGACAGCAGTAATTATATAACTTTTGCAAATGTATTTAAATTGATCAGGTGTGCTGCAGTACCCTTTCCGAGGCTATGATTCTATAAGGAAAAAATGATGAATTGCAACGCTAGAGAGATAATAGTTGCAGGCTCATGTCTATCAGAGCAGAGGGAGAGAGATCATAGAAAGTTAATCTTATTCTAGTTCTGTGAGAGATAGGCTACAGGCATGCTTCTCTCACCACAGCAAGAGCCACGCGTTGGTCTCTAGTCTACAATGTTGTGCAAACCATAAACCCGGGCCGCCCAACCCAAATCAATTCTTAGAGTATCAGGCACGGGCTGAAAATCTACGTTTTCACAACACGTTAGGGGGCATTAGAATTACAGAGGCAACTCGAATGAACTCTGATCGCTTTTATTCTGGAAAATAGGTTCCGAAACTAAACAGTAAAAATATGAGAGATGCTGGATCCAGTTCCAGCAGGATCCGGCTCAAATTAAGCACTTCGATTTGTGAAACTGCGCTATGCCACTGGTCACACACTGACATGAACGGACACACACTGGCATTTATCCACACGTGGGATATTATTACCATGCAGTCTATGCCAAGACCCTTTCTCTCCAGAATCCCGCCTCTTCTCAGGCTTTTCCCAGCCCTAATCCTCTGTAAACAGTGAAATGTGTGAACACAGCTTGGCTCACAGAGTGACAGCATGAAGCAGGCTAATCTTAATACGCTGTTGCAGTAACAGGGAGATATGGGATTATGGGTCATGGTGAAGCAGCACAAGCTACTTACTGTCTGTCATCGAATGTTTCCTCTATGTAGCCCTCTATCGGTAGCATTAGCCTCCAGCATCACTAGCGTTAGTCTCTACAAGATTTAGCATTATACTCCTGCATCTTTAGCATTAGCCTCTAATAATATTAATAATTTATTCAACTTTTATAGCACTATTCATTCCATAAAGAATCTCAAAGCGCTTTAAAGCAACACAAAAAAGATGAGCGATTTAGAAAACAACAGCATCATTCATGAGATGGAAGGTTATGAGAGGGTCGGAAAATTCATGGCTTGAGTGGTCATCGGAGGGAGGTGGTTAAAGGGGTCTCTGGAGCAAGTCCGGGAGCAGGCAGGCAGCCCGGTGTCATCAAGGTGTCTCGCCATCCTTGCTGTCTGTGTGGCTTCTCCATAGTAGGACTCGGATGACGTTTGAGCTCAGCCACTGCTGTTCATGGACTCCGTAGTTGGTGTAGCTAGCTATCTAGTCCTTCACTACTACCAAAATGAAGCACCCACTTGGGTGAAGCTATGGCAGTTACATGGTGCCAGAAAGCACACCACATTTCAATAATAATTCAAGAGTAGCCTTGTAACTTAGTCCTCCTTACGATCCTCATCACTGCATACCTCAGCCGTCTTGCTTTCAGGCTTCTCTCCATCCTCAATCTCTGGACACATGGCTGGCATTCGAATCAAAACAATTGCCAGCTGACATTAGCTAGCTAAGCAAACAAACAAATGACTTGCCAGCTTAAGTTTTAAAAGTCTGGTGTATTCAGATTATATTAATTAGCTATATTTATTGTTCATTCTTAAAACAAAAGTTTTGCAGGGAAAAAATTTCATAAAAATGTATTAATTATATACAAATATTTACAAAATGTACAGGAGCTCTCTGCCTAAGTGACCTCACGGTGCCATGACAACCACATAATTCGCATTAGCCTCTAGCATCACTATTAGCATTAGCGTCTTGCATCTTTAGCATTAGCCTCTTGCATCACTAGCATTAGCCTCTTGCATTATTAGCATTACCCTCAGTTCTAATTTCTTCATACTGCGGTGTCTGTTAAAAATGGTGCAGGTGAATAATCATGAACTTACCTTACAGGTGAATGCAGGGCCCATGGCCTATGCCCGAGCCTTCCTGGAAGAGAAAAATGCCAAGAAGTACCCCGACAACCAAGTCAAACTGCTCAAGGAGATTTTCAGGTATTCTTCACAACACTTCTCATGATTTGGATCAAAGAAAATACCTTTATGCACCACTTAGCAGATGCTTTTATCCAAAAAGTACATTTTTGGTTTGATTATGTGTAGGGCTGTTGCGGTGACCGTATTACCACCACACCGGCGGTTACGAGTCATGAAGGCAGTCAAATTCCACGTGACCGCTTAGTCACGGTAATTAGGCTTCTCCAAGCTTTGATGTTGCTGATGGTCATTAGTAGCCTACCAAACTTGCTAACTGCCTGGTACTCAGCACTCTGTTGTCCCTATAATCACTCTGACATCAATGGAAATGTAATCGAAAATCTAATCAAACACTTCATGAGAGCCCATGAGCTCATGTAGCGCAACATTTCTATAGGCTATGCAATTGCGGAGAAAACAGAGTGATGGCCTCTATTAAAAAGAGGAGTATCCCATCAGCTTTCTATAGGCTAGGCCTACTATATTTATTTCTTAACTTTCCTAATATTAAGCAAATATTAAGCACATTGCTTATCTTTACAACAGGAGTATAGCCTACCTGGCTGGCATGAAAATGAACCACAGGAAAAGCGTCCTCCATTCGCTATTTATGTGCAGAGATGACATGTATTTTTTCCCCTGCCCCTGTTTCAAGACAGGTGCATGATAATGGTCCATTCTAAATCAAAACGAATTTCACACATATATTATTTAGTATATGTAAAGACAATATGAAATCAAGAATAGTCTGATGGGTGACAATATTAGCATATCACTTCTGAATTATATATTATCACTTGTGAATGATGCCCAGGTTAAGGCAAGAAACAATGCCTTTTTTTTGTGACTTTTCCTAATTATTGTCGCACACTTCTTGTAGCCTAGCCCATAGGCCTATATGTTTTGATAAGGTTTGTATCACAACTAAAGTGGCCAAATAACTTCTTAAAATTAAGCAAATGAATCCGCTTTACAAGGGGTGTAGAGCCTAACTGGCATACATAAGCAGCGCATGAGTTTCAAGTTTGTGGAAGATACATTTCACCATATAATAAAAGCATCACGTGCATAATCGCATTTGTGATCACTTTTTATAATGGTGTTTTCCGCTAATGGAACATTCGCGCTTATAGCCTACTGCACTGTGTGCATTGCTGCGCTTATAATTTGAAGAATAAGCCTAATAGTTCATCAACGTTTTAAGCTAAACGTTCTGATCTGTTGCATCAGCATCATTGCGTAAAAAAGCGTTTTTGATGCTAGTGTTTGTATTAATTTGGGATCTATCGAATTCCACAACTGTCCCAGACTATGTTTGGAATATTTATTTCTCACACAGAATAGAATAGGTCAACTTTTGTACTATGGGGGATAGTAGATTGTCATAGGCTAGTGCTTTTGCTGTTCGTTAGGCCTACTCATCTTGTTGGCTGACAAAAAGTAAATGTGGACAGTTCTTCCAATATCTTCAATATGCACCTCTGAATTGGATAAGGACGCGCGCAGTTGCGTCCCAGATGTGTCTGTCTTCACTTGTAGCCTGTGAGAAATATCCGATCACGTGGAGAACTGGAGAGCGGGGTGCTTCAGAGCAGGCATTATCAAGTGCTTCTCAAATTGTGAATGAGAGACTGACAAAGTGTGTACAGCCTGCGCAAAAAAACAAAGCAGAGCTCATGCCTTTCAAGGGACTTTTTTCAAATCATCATTAGAGTAGCATCATGCAGCCTTACAATGTATAAAAAATCAAAACATGTAGCCCAACATTTGTAGAACAACTAAAGTACCTATTTCTTTGTTAACCGCTCAACACAGAATAGCCGCATGTGCGCAATCCCTCAAATCGTTTGGAGAAAATATCCTTTCTATTTTATTCAGCTTTGTTCAATTGTATTCTTTATACTATAAAATAATATAAAATAATGCCACGGAATTCTAAGCAAATCTTGTCTGCTAAATGAACTAGTGTAGCCCACAGCCATATGGCATAGCCAGATCAGGGCCTAATATAAGGACAATTCAGAGTATGCTATTCTGTTCTTCTGAAATAGACTACATTTTCTTCATATCATGTTTCTTTAGACCTGTCTAAAATAAATAATTGATTTATTGTGAAGGTGTAGGCTATATTACATGGATTTATTATACTTTTTTTAAATGTAGATGTTCCAAAGGTCTGCATCAGTGTCTTGTAGGCTATGTGTGGAAGCCAGGAGATGCTAAATGTATTTATGTTAACTAACGGTCAATTACCGTGAGACTGGCAGTTATTTGCTTGACAATCACCAGCTGACAAACTTTCGTGACCGCCACAACCCTAGTTATGTGACCCCTGTGGGAATTAGATCCACGACCTTGGCATTGCTAGAGCCACGCTCTTACCAACTGCGCCACACATAGATCGATGATGCATTTGATACGTCTTAAGCAAAAGGGTTGGGGTCAATTCAGGTCAAGATAACTAGAACCCAGAGTTTTTCCAGATCAGATCACATGGTCAGGACGAGGGAAACTCGTGGCCCTTATAGTGCCCTAACACTCTCTGTCTGGCCCTGCAGGCAGTTTGCGGAGGCGTGCGGCCAGGCGCTGGACGTCAACGAGCGGCTGATCAAGGAGGACCAGCTGGAGTACCAGGAGGAGATGAGGGCCCACTACAGGGACATGCTCACCGAGCTCTCCACCGTCATGAACGAGCAGGTCTGAACACCGCCCCGAAACATAGAAACTGCTGTTTCTGTAGACAACTGAGGCTGTATGCATCACATGTCTCAGAATTGGAGTGCTGATCTAGGATCAGCTCCCCCACCCCGTCCATGTCATCTTATTCATTATGATGTTAAAGGAAAAACTGACCCTAAGTCAGCCCTCCTATTGTGAGAAGCTTGATACATTCGGCCAATGGGCTGTTCAATCATTAGCCTAGCTACTTAGAGTAGTAACCTTCACGCTCTTCATATCAATGTTTTTGTTCACTTTCGTGTGGTACAGTTTTGTTCTCACATCATTACTCTTTTTAATCCGTCATTACTTTCTCTGATATCATTGTTTCATTATTTATTTTTTACGCATGTGCTTTTGCTGGATTAGCCAGAGTTTTGTCTCATCTCTTTGTGTTGTTCTCTTTGTTAATTTGTTCTCTTTCATTGGATCTCAGCTGCATAGACACATCCTCTCATTCAGTTTCTGTTCCTCTCTCTCTAATATCTCCCTCACTACCGTTTCTAAGACTGGTACGTCACACAATCCCCCCCCCCACTTTACCACACCTCTGGCCCTGTCATTATGGAGCAAGTGACACTGCTGTGCATTATACTAACCTCTCAGCATATATATTTGTGTGTGTGCGTGCGTGCTTGATCGCATCATACATTCATCAGATTTCTGTTTGTGTGATTTGAAACATGAATTTACTATCTATGTCTCTCCTCCATGCCAAGATCCCTCACACAAGACCACCAGGAACAGAACGACACAGCGCTTTCTGAGCAGCCAATAGGCATGCTGGAATCTGACAGTGCCCAGGAGGACACGTTTCCCCAAAATGGCTCCTGGTGACAGACGTCGTTCTTTCTCCTGCCAGGAATTATACAGGAGTGGGGGACTGGAACTTTGACTTTATGGGAACTGGAAAAAAGGGAAGTGGATGGGGAAGTCCAGAAGTCTGTAGACTTTGATTGTGTTAGTCTGGAGTCATGGTAGTCTGGAGTTGTGGTAGTCTGGCATCCCAGTAGTCTGCAGTCCTGGTGATGATGATGATGTCCAGTAGAACAGGCTGCTGTACCGTTACTTTGTTTTGTTTTTAAGGATCAATCCATGTTTGCACTCCCCTGCCGACCGCCTCATCTCCTTACTCTGTACACACACACACACACACACACACACACAGACAACACACGCCTTCCCTCCCCAGCCCCATCCCTTTAGAAAATTGTGACCTTAATGAGCTTGAGGTGCGTTCAACAGAGCAAAAGTTTGGTTGTAATTCTGGTCACAACAATGTCGATCATAATTTGTCCATATTCTGTTGGTTATCTTTATGCTGCAAATGTTTGCCATCTATGGTAAGCAATTCCAAAAAGTATTGTAAAATGACAGTTCAAGGAATTCTATAAAGGAAATTAGGGTCACGTTCAGTAGCCAAACATTTTTTAATGTTGCAGATAGAAATACTATGAATACAGCCAACATGATTCCTTCTTCTATAAGGCAGAGAGACATGTTTGTTCCACATCATTTATT